AAATGGTGTTGTGAGAGAGTAATATGCAGCAGCGGTATGGCAAGTGGGGGGATGCTTAGCCCCCCCCCCAAAAAAAACCACACATTTCATTTTCTCTACAATTCAGCCTCCCACCAATTGCTTCACTACCTCCCTGCCAAAAATTAAAACATGATGCTGAGGAAGTGTGCAGATAAAATACAGGAGGAGAAAGATGAGCCAGTCAGCTAAAAATTATGCATCCGGTCTTGACAACATTTTCATTCCTATTCAAAGCATTTGGTGAGCCTTCTACAAGTGATGTAGAAGAGTTCTTCAGAAGTGCCTTACCCTGGCAGCAAATTACAGAACTTCACTCTGATGGATTGTAGAAAAGACAGCTCCACTGAGTGATTTTCCCACAGAAAGAGGGGCCTAAGCTAAAAATCCATATTTTGCATGAAAAAAGCAGGAGTGGGTTCATCTGATTTCTCCATGATGGTGTGCCCATCAGAAATTTGGGCCTGGAAATGGACCGGAATGGCTGACATTCCAAGTCAGTGACTCTCCCCATGGACAAGCAGCAATTCACTTAAGTGATTCTGAGGTATTAGTAACACCTATCAGGAGATGCAATCAATTTGACATGCAATAAATCTCCTTTGCTCCTTCCTAGTTTGTTTGCAAAACCCTTGTGACTTTGCTCATAATCCCTTTATGGGGATTTCACATTGTCTAAACAAGCCACAGCATTTTCCCCAGGGTTCCTGGGGAAATGCAACACTTAGGCCTGCAGGCACCAGTGACACTTAACTTGTGTTGGCTGAAACACCCAATCCCTCCCCTACTCATTAAAATATGAATAACGTATTTCTTTCTAGCAACTGAGATCACTTCAAAATGGGAGTGCTTGATGACTTAAGGTCTTTCCCACCATGATTACATTGGTTTGGAACTGCACTGTGCATCCATTACAGTTGGAAATAATTTTAATTATTGCAAAATCCACTCTTGCATGATTTTTACACAGGACAGAGTCCATCTTTGGTACATTTTTTCCTACCATGTCAGAAAATATATCCTGTGTAAAGCTGCTTTTAAAATATTTGACCACTCTTTTCTTTGCTTGTTCCTAAAAATTATTTAACTTATAGAGACACCTAGTGGTTTCTCAACAAAATGTGAAGTATACAGATCAGGAAAATGTCTTTTGGTGCCTGTTTCAGTGGAGATATTGCTGAAAATGATATTATTTTGAAAATGATCCATATGAGACTGGAAGTTTGAGGTGGTGGTTCTAAAGCAACAATCCTACATGTACTCACTTGGGTGTAGGTCCCACTGAACTTAGTTCCAAGTAAACATACACACAATCAATCCTTACACCATTTATAGATAAAAATAGCAGTGATGTAATACTTTTTAGTATGACCAAATAAAATGATACAGAGTACTCCTTTCTTTTTTTAATAATAAGAAAGCTTTCACATTTTCCAAAGTTATTCTTCAGGCAGGAAGTGCAGTAAAAACAACAAAGATTGAAGGACAAGAAGAGAAAAAGAAAACTGCTTTAGGGCATCATGGAACATCAGTAGCTGTTTTCTGTAAATGATTAGAATATCCTTAAATATATGAAAAAATAAAATATTATATTGCCAGAACTCACCTCCAAATTATTCATGTGCCACTGTACCAGGCATGTCTTCATGTCAAGTTGTTGCATTATATAGCCATTAAATCCTTTCTTATGTTGCACATTGAGAAAACAGGGCTACATTTTGGCCACTTCCAGATGGATGACTTCTAGCACTACCAATAAAAAGGAATTGTTCCCTGCAGTAGATCCTTTGCAGTCCCTCTCTGCTTTTCAGGCACAGCTCTGTGGTGATGGTTGTTACCCCAAACTTGGAGGCACATGGTCACCCAGTGCAGGTGGAAACAGAGAGGAAGATGATCTTAACTCCATTGTCCTCCATCCTGCTAGGTGGGCTTTTTGACCATCTAACTGGGGTTTCATGAAAGGGGAGAGGAGAATGGAGAGGTTCCAGGATAGCTCATACCTTGGCCTCTCCAGTCTTCTCCCCTGCCCCCCCCCCCCCCGCAACACCAACCGACTGATTCATCCTTTCTTCCCCTTTCCAAAGTCACTTTCCTGATCTCAGAGAAAAGCAGGCACAATTCTTTCCATACAGGCCATGAGGAGGCAGGTGAGGAGGTTTCAGAGCTCCATTTCCAAGCTCCAGATTGGACCACTGTCTCTGAATTCAAATTTGGGAATCTGAACTATGCTATGGGCACTCAGAGACTTTCCAGAGGCAATAGGATTGCCTCCACCCCGTTTACTAAAGATACACTTATTTGATGTAACCACGCATTCTTATTTATTTACTATTTATATTTGTTTTCCATTTTTATTTATTTATTTATTTAGAATATTTATATGCTGTCCTTTATATGCAAAGGCCTCATGACAGCTTACATAAATAATATATTATTTTATATTACATAAAATATATAAATATTTTCTCCTCTAAAGATCTCAAAGCAGTGTTGGGACTTCCTCTTCAAGGCCTGTTGCTTGTCCTGGTTTATATTCCTCAGCTGAAGAGCCTTGTCAGCATTCTGCTGGGAATTCTTGGAACAGGCTTCCTATTTGACTCAGTAAAGCCACTGCCCAGAAGGACAATGACAGAATAATAGCAACTCCATGAGATGTGCACAGAGGGAGTTTCCTTCTCTATCACCAGGAAACCTCTTCTCCTTGGAGTGAAACTTGAGGGATTGCACCTGGTACTAGGCCAGCTGTACAGATTGGGGGTGCTGTTGGTGTACTGCCAACCCTGCTGCTCAGCTGGCAGAATTGTCTTTAACATGGTGTTGGGTGACTTTAATTTTCATCCTGAATGTGCTTCTGGAGCCACAGCTTGGTCTCCATGGCTCTATCTCAGTTTGTTATCAGCCTAGCACATGAAACTTGGTCTTTGTTTCAAGCTGTGAGATGGGTAGTCTAAAAACTGGTGGGCCCAAGTAAACTTACTGCATATGTTGTGAGCTACCCAGAGGACCTTATGGTTAATAGGGTGGTACATAAATTATCTGGATCCATTTCAGTCTGGTTTCAGACCCAGTTACGGTACTGAATCTGCCTTGGTCACCCTGTATGATGACCTGTGCAGGGAGAGGGACAGGGGAAGTTTGTCCCTGTTGGTTCTCCTGGACCTCTCAGCAGTTTTCAATACCATTGCCAATGGTATCCTTCTGGATAGACTGGCTGGGCTAGGAGTAGGAGGCTCTGCTTGGCAGTGGTTCCACTCCTATTGGGCCGGTCGATTCCAGAAGGTGGTGCTAGGGGACTTTAGCTCTGCGCCATGGCAGCTTTGACATGGAATACCGCAGGGCTCTATTTTGTCCCCCATGCTCTTTAACATCTACATGAAACCCCTGGAAGAGGTCATCAGGTTTGGGTTGTGGAGTCATCGGTATGCTGATGACACTCAGCTCTACCTCTCATTTACATCTACTCCAGGTGAAGCAATGGTTGTCCTTAACCGGTGCCTGACTGAGGTAATGGGCTGGATGAGGGCCAACAAACTGAGACTCACTCCAGATAAGATGGAGGTCCTTTTAGTAGGTGGTTCGGGCTATCAGGTAAGTGATTTTGGCCTTGTCCTGGATGGGGTTGCACTCCCTCTAAAGGACAGTGTCCGCAGCTTAGGAGTGTTCCTCGACCCAGAACTGTCCCTGGAGGCCCAGGTGACAGCGGTGGCGAGGAGCGCCTTCCTTCAGCTTCAACTGGTCCAACAGCTGTGTCCTTACCTGGATGAGCACTGCCTAGCAAAGGTGACATATGCCCTGGTAACTTCCCGATTGGATTATTGTAACACGCTCTACATGGGGCTGCCCTTGAAAATGGTCCAGATACTTCAATTGGTTCAAAATAGAACTGCCAGGCTGCTGAAGGGGACTGGTTGTTATTCTCATATAACGCCAGTCCTCTATCAGTTTCACTGGCTCCCAGTTGAAGTCCGGGCCCACTTCAAGGTGTTGGTACTTACCTATAAAGCCCTAAATGGCTTGGGTCGTGGATACCTGAAGGAACATCTCTTCCCCTATATGCCCTCATGCCCCTTAAGATCAGCAGGGGAGGCCTTACTCCAGGAACCCTCTTTGAGGGAGGTACAGAGGGTAGCCATGCAGGGAAGGGCCTTTTCTGAGGTGGCACCGAGACTATGGAACATGTTCCCCAGAAAGGTCTGCCTGGCGCCAACCCTCTACTCTTTTTGGCACCAGGTAAAGACCTTTTTATTTAACCTTCATTTTAACAACTATTACTATAGAAGACTCCCAACTATCCGGCCTAATGTGGCGGAAATGCAGGCTGGATAACAAAAAAGCCGGATAGGCCAGATTTCTATAAATGCTCACTTCCTACCCCACCCATACCATTAAAAACACCCTTTTTATACCAAAACCTGCTCTTATTCATATTTTCTGACCTCTTAGTACAGGCCAGTACTTTATAAATCTTTGTTATGTACTGTACTGTATGTTTTAAAAATTTCTTACAGAAAAAGGAAGTCCAAGGATAAAAATATTGTACACATTTTAAGATAAATTTTATAATGTCTAACTTAATTGCAGGAAACATAAAATCATGTACATTGTACAGTATGAAAACATACACTTTTAAAATAAACAAAACATTAATGTAAAATGTAGGCTTAATTCTTACAAAAATTATTTAAACTTATTTTACTGTTCATTGATAGCTATAACTAGGCCGGATAGTATGGAGGCCGGATAGTCATGAGCCGGATAGTCGAGAGTCTACTGTATTTTATTAATACTGCTAATTTGTATACAGTTGCTTTTTTATTTTTTATTATTTTTATTAAGAGAGGATATATTGTGGAATGTTATGTTATTTATAATATTATATTGTTATGTATTTTGTTATGTATTCGTGTAAGCCTTCCTGAGGCTTTCGCACTGGATGGCATACAAATGTCTTAAATAAATAAAAAAACTGAATAAACAAATACCATTTCCTGGTGAGGTATGAACTTGCAGCATTATTTCTCTCCTGAAGGGTTGTGGGGTCCATTTGGATTATTCACTTCAGGAGAGTGATTGAATCCAATGGATTTCTGAATCTTCTCAGGGATATTCCAGTAGACGGATTGGATGATCCAGCCAAGGCCCTGGTCCCACTGTGGAAGGGTGAGATAAGTTCATTAGGGGATGTGGAGCCAAATGCCAACAGTATGCTGATGACACATAGCTCTGTCAACCTGTGATGACGGAATCTGGAGTGGTTGTGCAAGTCCTGGATTTAGTGATGAGTTGAATGAGGGCCAATAAACTGAAACTGTGTCATGGCAAAATAGAAGTCTTTGGGGTGAGCAGTTCCTCAGTCTGGGAAGCTCACAGCTTGTCCTGCTTGGGGCTGCACTCATTGGGAAAGATCAGGTGCTTACTCAAGGGGTACTCTAGATCCACTGCACTCACCGGAGTCCCAAGTGACTGCAACTGCTTGGAGTGCCTTTTAGCATCTTTGATTGGTTCACCAGTTTCTGGACAGAGATAGCTTGGCCATAGTGATGCAGCCACTAGTGACCAAAAGGCTTGCCAAGGGGATTCAGAGGAGAGGGAAGCAGGATGGAGTACCATCAACATAGCTCAATGCTTGGCAGCCCCAGTCTCATTTCCTTCTCAACCCCTTGAACAGTTTTTTCTGCACCAGCAGCGATGCAGGGAGAAGGGGGTCAGAACACAGATTCCCAACAGCCAAAGTATACTATGCCTCCTTCCCCATGTCTACAGCTGCCTACAGAAGCAGCTGCCCCATGCCTACAGCTGCTAGACATCCCCCTGATGTCTAGCAGCTGTAGGATTGCTCTCTAACTTCCTCTAGATGTATGAAGAATTAAACTTACATAGTTGAATGGAAAAGCTGGAGTCAAAGTCTAAACATTAATACTAATGCTAAACAAACTGATCCTGGAATTAACCAAATTTGGATTAAAAGGTTAATCAAGTTTCTTTCTAAGACAGCTTCAAGTTCAGAAGTGATTCCAGGTCTCATTTTCAGGAATAAAACATAATGCCAAGTTTGTTTGTTTTGAGGGGGGGTGGGGGGAGGAACACTTTCGAATTCTAACTGCAGAAAGTAAATGGTTAACATTATTTGTAAGTTCTAAAGTCTAAAGTCCGTAAGTATCCAAATCTTTAGCTCTGGTGGTCCAGCAAAGATTAGAGGCAAAACTAGGCCGCAAAGTAACAAAGAGCTGGTAGTACCTGTACTTCCATATACTTGTTCTTGGCCGGGGTGGGAGCTTCAAGGAATGATGGGACACTCAATTTCCAGTCAAAAATAGGTTCCTGGGTGGTTAGACCACCTGTTCACCAAATAGAAAATGTCCATTTATTTCTCAGCTAAGGCACATTTTATGTCCATGTGTTTTGGGAATATCTCTGGCATTACAATTTAATCTGAAACTTCCAAAAAATTATTTAAAATAGAAAACATGCCTTAGTTTCTTACAAAGGTAATTCTGTCCAGGTAAACAGATCGGCCTTGGACCTCCCCACTTTTCAGTGGATTTTAGAGACTTTGTGCTGCATGTAGCACAATCCTGGGCACGTCTACTCCAAAGTAAGTTCTAATGAGCCCAGGTAAACGTACACAGGATTGCACCCTCCGTTTCACTCAGGAACGCTCCGTTTTTTCCAGTCCACGGTGTAACCCGGAGATTACAGATGGGAAAGAAAACTGCGCCAGGACCGTTACTATTTTTTTCTTTTTTAATCTCTATGGTTTATCAGTCGTTTAGATGAAGAGGGAAAATAGAAAGCGAGAAAGAAGGGGAAACATGGTACACAAAAGGTCTTTTTCTTGCCTGTCCAGAAGACGAAGTGAAGTGCGGGAATGCATTTGTAAAATGCCATAGACTTGCCCTACGTAAGGAGTTGGTGTGATCCACTCCATCAGTCTCCTTTAAAGCTGAAGGCAGTCTGGCCTGCTTTCCCTCCCCTCTAGTAGCAATGGTTTGTCCCAAAGCCGAGCTTATAGAGGGTGAAAGAGGAAGGGGCGGTCCTTCTCTTTCTGGCGCGGGAGCTGAGGTCGTAATGGCGGTAAGTGCTGCTTTCTTGAAAGGGTGCATTTGCGGGCAGAGGCGAACCACGAAACCTGGGCTGAAGAGGAGGGACAAGAATTGCTCACTGGAGCAACTGGGCCATGTAACAGTGTTCTCCATATGCTGGATGTTCTGGACTATAACTCCCATTATCACGGACCATGCTGTGCGGGTCTGCTGAAGTGCAAAACTTCTGAGGGTGCCGCATTAGGTAAAAGGGATTGCCCTTCTTTTGCAGTCCGAAGGAGGAAGGGCGGTGGAGCGAGGAGAGGTCTTATAGGTTATATAGTAAGAAGAGGTCTTGTTAGGGAAAGAGTCGGAGTAAATACTTCAGAGTCCCTAGTGCCGCGGACAGTTATTGCTAAGCCCGATCGGAGATCTGTCTCCTTTATCAACTGCACGTGTGGCAGCCTGGAGCAACTTGGTGCCCTTCCAGGTATTTTGGAAATCAGCTCCCAGAATTCTTCACTACTGACCATGTGGCCTGGAACTGATGGATGCTAAAGTATAAAACGTGGAGGGCGCCAGATTGGAAAAATGGCCTACCTCGCAACAGAGGACTGATCCTCTGAATGTTTGCCTCGAAGTCAGCCCCACGGGCGTGTTTCCAGACAGCGGGGGCTCTTGAGTTCGAGCTGCTTAGCGAAGGAAAATCTCTTGTTTGTATTGACATCAGGTGAATAGGAGCCGCTTCCTAGATACTAAAATTGCTGCTGTGGTTGGAAGCAGACCATCTGGTCAGTTCCAGAGAAAGCCAGCTTTAGGGTGCAAGAGGGGGTAGCGAACTGCGGCTTTGGCGTCCCTGATGAAGATGTGCTGGGAGTGCACGTGCTTACTGCTTAAGCTTCCAGCACGAGGTGGTCGTGGAAGATACGCGGCTGGCGCAGCAGCTGGTGGGGGCGCCTCTGCTGCCCCAGCAGAAGTGACAAGCACTGAGAAAGTTCTAGTAACCACCATAGTTATTTATGCAATGCAGTGATAGCATCCAACATTTTTTCCTCTTGCAAGGAACTCAGGGTACTTAAAAGATTTGCCTTGTAGCAGATGGAGAGGAGCAGGAGCTGCCACCGCTGTGGCAGGTGTCACTGCTTAAATGAGGGTGGGAAGGGAAGGCTTGTATAAGAGATTTTCACATGGCTTAGAATTTACTCTCTCACTGCTTCAATCTGTAGGGAAAGAAGGTTGGAAAGGAGAGTGGAATGATGGTAAGACGAAAAAGGCAGAGAAGCAGTGGAAGGAAGAGAAGGGTAAGTAAAAGCATTTCTCATTATTACTATATAAATGCTTTCATCATGTCATGCATACACACATTTGTTTTTAAGAAATAGTTTTCTTCTAGTTCCTTTGGATTTTTTTTCCTTGTGCATCATTTGAATCTGCAGCATGTGCCATGTTCTTTTGTTCACTTGGTTTCTGCCCCTTTTTGTGTCTCCTGCCTTCAGTGTTGCCCGTTTATCTTGGTTGCTAATGAACGTGGTGTCAAAGAAGGCATAAAACAAGTCTTCCCCTCTCGCAGCCCTCACCTGTGCTAGGGATTGTTCCTACCAGGTTTGCTGTGTGGGGGACATCCTAGGCAGTTGTCTCCTCTGTGGATCTCTCTGAATAAATATTAGTTTGAGTTTCTCAGTAACATAAAATTCTTAAATCTGATTGAAGGCAAAACATCATGTGGTACACATAATGAACAGTGATTTTTAAAAAGGAAATGGGCCTCTGCTCTGGATAGATGCAAAGTGTGTGTGGGAGCGATAAGAAGCCCCCCCCCCATTGCCCTAATATGGATTCAACCCCCATGCTTGTTGTTGGCATCTGTGCCAGGGGGAGCTTTTTCTAATGTGGCTAACAGGCACAGGGAGTCTGATCTGTATCTGGATCACAGAACCGGGGCAAAGGTTTTAAAGCATTTATATGCTGGGTTCTGATATGGTCCAGGGCCTTACAACTGTTTAGCAAGGGAAGGGAACATAATTGTGTAAAAACTATCACATCTAGTTTGGAATGAAATGTGTTCTGAAGTGCCCACATAATTACATTAATACCAAACACAGCCAATTGTAGAAGTTCATAGGTCCTCAAACTATGGCCCATGGGCCGGATACAGCCTGCCTTGGAGGTTTTGGGCTTGCCATGCGCACGGCGAGGCAGCAGCTTACTCACACAGAGGTTGTTTTGTACTTGCTTGAAGAAAATGATCTCCATGCAAGCAAACCGCTGCCTTGCCCCGCATGCCCCACCTCGCTGCATGTGCGCCCCACCCCCTCACTGGCCCTTGGTAGCCCACGCCCACCACCAGCACCTTTCAACTGGCCCCCTGTTGAAAAAGTTTGGGGACCCCTGTATTAGTTAATACCCACCCAGGAATTATTAGGAACCTCTTGTGTGCAGTCTTTGTACATAGATTCTCCTTCTCTTGCATAAATTGAAGGAACTGGTGGCTCTTCAGCACTAGAAAGAGTTGCTGTATATGTACTATCCTTCCTAACCCCCATTAGTATGACTGACATTGCAATCCATGCATGTTTACTCAGCAGTATTCAGTGGGACACATTCCCAAATACAGAGTAATGTAGAAGGGACTTTGCCATACTGCAGGGCTTCCTTGAAGAAATGCTACATAGTAAGACAATCTGTTTGGGAGTTAGCTTGAACAACTGCTTTCCTTGAACTTTACTACTTTCTGTGTGAAGAAGTAGGTTGTTCTGGGGTTCATTGTGACTTTAGGTGTGCTAGAACCCCATCTGTGAAGTGTCCTCCTTCCAGAATTGCATAGTAACTCCCTATAGCCAAGGGATGAATTAAGTTTATTAAAGGAAATATTATAGTTAATAACTTGCAGTCTTACTGGATTATAATGTCATTGTTCCTTTGGCTTTTTTCCCCTTAGTGTAGTCAAGGTCTAGCTACAGTTCTGGATGGAAAATATTACTTTGCGATAAAGGTATGGAACTTTGTTTTCTCACCAGATGCTTAATACATTCAGACTCTACACTGATTCACATTAGTGCACACTTTGCCTTTGTGTTGCCCATTCACTACTTTTTACAGTGAATGTGGTGTCAGAAAAGGCACATATTAACCCTGGCTGTCATGTGTTCAGGAGTGGATTGTGTAACTTCTCCACATTTCAGCTAGAACACACCCATTGTAGAAAAATATATATGCCCTTTCTTTAGCTCTGTATATACAGTTAAGTGTGTAAAATTGGACATTGGAATGGATTCAGTAGTTGTAAACCAACATTTTGCTCCTGATTAGGATACTTTATACCTGAAATTCTATACACTTTGCCTCTGCTTTTTGTACTGTTCAGTTTTTATTATCACTGTTTCAAAACAACCAAAATGTTAGGGAATTCATCTTGCTCATGGCAATTTGTTCCAAAGATTTATTTGGTTGTTGTTAACGTATTCATGTGAACAGTAGCTCCCATTGTGGAAGTTTGTTTTAACGATTATATAGTCTCAATGTAGTACAGGGGTGGAAGATGTTTTACTTGATTCACTGGGGGCCTTTAATAGTAAAATTCTGTCCTGTGTGAGTTGGAGGAAAGGTGGGATATAAATAGAATTGACTTAACCTTGGAAAATGTCAAATAAATAGTATACTGAAACTCTTCAACTTGTAAGTCATTTTCCTCCTTTGCTATAAATATACAAATTTATGGCAGTTACCTCCAAAATCCATATACTACAATACCATTATTAAGCCAATCACAAAATGTGATTTTTGTGTCCACAGAACATGGACTGGGATTGATCAGTGTTTTCTGGAGCATTTTCCAACTTCACTGAAGAAATTTCCCCCTTTTTAAGAAAAGCAGAATACTAGCATAACATTCACAGGTGCATGGATGGTCCTTGCACTTGTGAAAACCCATGCCTCTTGTGACGTATATGGGTTCTATATATGCAGTTACTTAGCAGATGGCAGCTGAACCTATCATAGCTCAGCCTTCATTCCCTCGGAAGCTTAAAAGTTGAGCTGCCACTGCTACTAAATTCTGTCCCCTCTGCTTCCAGTTGAAGGAGGCAAGCAGTGCAGTGGAACAACATCACATAAACATTGGCTGCCAGCAACAAAAGAGCCACTGTGTGTTCTGGCCCATTCAGTCATGTTGGAGATGCAGCAGCAGACATGAGAGACCAGTATAGGTGAGGGGGCCACCAGGAATAGTGTTAAGGTTCAGATAAAGCATAACTCAATGTTTTATACAGTTACTTATTTGAGCTTATACCCACTCATTCTCTCCTGTTCTTCCTTCTTACCTGGAATAGCTTTTATTTATTTGTCCAGCCATTTCCTTGACTCTCTAGCTCTGCATTGCCCTCTTGCTCCCCCTTTCATTCTTATCTGCTGCGTCTTCATCAGTGAATGCCAGAGAAGGAAGTCTTGCTTCATTAAATGGTGCTTACTACCAGGCAAGTATGTATAGGACTGTGGCTTTAGGGGGAAGTAAAGGAAGGTGAGGATAGAGGCTGTTAGTACCTAATTGGTGCCACAAACCTTTTTAAATGTTTGTCCTAGATTTGGACTTTGTGGCTCCTTTAGGTACAGGGCAGCAAATCAGGGAAGTTGAAAAGTAGCTATATCCTTCATTTTCTTTTGGCCTGCCTGTTTTGGTGCAGTCTGGATTAGGATTCTGCTTTGGTGCAGAAAAGGAAGAAGATGCGGGATGAATTGTTACAGTCAAGTGGGGCATAAGTGTCCTTGCCAGGCATGAATAACTGGCTATACTGTTTCGGGGAATATTTCTTCATGTCCTGGCAATGATGCCGAGCAACCTATGGTATCTCATTGTGGTTTTATTAAAGTTTTATTAAATTTTGAAGTACAGTAGAAATTGAACTGAAATTGTTCCCCCCACTATCACCTTTGCCATCCATAGGTGTCAAAATGTATAAACTGTACAGTAAAGGACAAAGGACTGACCTTTTTCCCAGAGTGGGAAGAGAAGCATTGTCCTGTGACAACACAAGTTTCCATTTATCTGGCCTAGCTTGATAAGAGTGGGCTGGGGGAAGCTTTTGAGTAAGGGAATTTGCTGGAGTTTCTATTTTTGAAGGTTTTTCCAATAAAGCAACTAATTATATTAGTTAAGAAGTTGCAGCTATCAGGTAAAAACAGAAGAATGTGTGTTTCAGGTGACTTAGAGAATCAGCTGCAAAGTGATCTTACACGTTTCTGATTTTCAGTGCAACTTGAATTCATGGACACTTGACAGATGATCATTGTGAGGATGGTATTTCATAAACTTGTGGAAGAAGAGCTGCTCCCAATACTACCTCTGAGAGACAGCAACAGGTGAAAGATACAGTTCAGATTTTCAAAAGCTATGCTATGGAAATAAAACTTTCACAAACTGTCGTTCATTACTATTGGTGAACTGAGGCTGATGTAGAAGAAATAAACCTAGAATTTTTAGACCTTCAACATGATTTAATTTTAAAAGCTAATTCAGATCATGCTGATATTTTGGAATCTGGTTGAATAAAACTTTTCTTGTGAAAGAGGACAGCAAGGTAAAATCTTACCTTGGATCATCTATGTGAAGCACTCTTCTCAGCAATGAATTGTATTGAATCAAAGAACAAAACAGCTGGCTGAGTAGCATCTGGATTACTGTTTGTGAGCTGCGACCTCATTCTAGAAGGTGTGGTAAGCTTACAGATGTCAGCCAGTGAACAGCTTCACACTAGTCTGGGCAGTATTTCTTAGTCATTGCTATGGTCAGTTGTGTGTAGAGCTAGAATGCTGGTGTTGATGAACAGCCTGAAAATATTGCGGGACCTTATAGTAATGTAACCCTAATATTTTCCTTGACTACATTTTTCAAAAACCTAAGTATAGTAATAGTAGAAAATTTTAGTGCAACTGCTTTTAAACTTAAAGAAATGATATCCTGCTTTTCGAGCCACTGCTATGATAAACTCAGCAGCATCCTGACATTTGGACCTCCTCCAATCATAGCAACTCTGCCATGCCTCCTGATGTGGGCAAACACAGTGCCTAAAAAGCACTATCTTTAATAGTGTGTAATGTCCCTTGAAATTTCACTGGTAGGTTATAATGGAAAAATAATTGGTAGTGCTAAGAGATGCTCATCTGGAAGGAACCTTGGTCATAGGCGAGCAACCAATGAATGCTCTACATACAAAAGATTGAGCCTGACACCCAAGTAATACCAACCATAATTGTCACTTACCAAAATTTTCTCCAATTTTCAAAGTGTAGGGAGAAGATACCACTGGCTTCCTATAACCATCTGCTAGCTTCATTAGAACACTTGCAGGATTAGCCAGGCAGGGAGAAAGAAAAGAGGCATTTGGTACAGAGGAAGGCAAAAGCATAGAAGGAACTGGATGATTGTTCACTGTAACAAGCTGGAAAAAATAATGGAAAACTTTGTGGAAGCAGGATGAAATCTCAATAAGATTATGCAAAATAGCCAAAGTCCCATTGAATGTGGGTCTTTGAATAGCAAACATGGGATCCAGTGGTATTGGGGTAGATAAATAAACCCCATATCAGCATGTGTTCTAGTACCACTTCTACTATCCTGAGATCTTTGCTTACACAATCAAACTGCAAAGAATCATGTCTGTCCAGTAGCTGCACAGAACAAAGCCATAGAGGTGGAAGAGGGACCAGCCTCAGTGCTGGGGTAAAAAGGTGCAGGTGTCCTTAGGTTCCATCTGGTGCTATTCAGCTGTTCCTGATAAGACCTCAATCCAGCAGGCAGTTGACTGTTGGATTGAGAGCAGTGCTCTGCCTACCATTATATTACAATGATGTGTAGCTTCTTTTCTTTTGCAAGGAAACCAAGGTGGCAGACAAGTTTCTCTTTGTCTCTTCACAACAACCACCCTGAGTTAGTTTAGGCTGAAAGGCTGTGCCTCCTTGAGCGGAGACCTGAATCCAGACCTGAGTTATACCACACTGGCTCTCTACATATACCAAAATTAAGTTGGCTACTACATATGGCCATGTTCCATATAGTTGCCCAAATAATGCCGACTCATTTCTATCTTTTGCAGGAATACATGTGTGGAAATGGTGTGGTTTACTTTCTGGATAACATTGGCAAAGTACTAGCTCAACCTTGTGCAGTTAAGTGGAAGAAAAGTAAGTTTACACAGAGGGCCGTGGTAGTCATCAGATGAAGGTGAAACCAGTGTCTTCCTGCATTACAGTCACTCTGATGCTCCATGTTCAACAAAAGGTCATGCCTGGATGACTCACTGATGGCAGCTGCCCTCCTGTCTCTCCTTCCAAAGAGTTCTGATGATAGCATTGCATATTGAGCTCTACGGCTGTAATGGTCTATCTTCTGATTTTGCATCAGACAATACCTCTGCTTCTTCCAGTGAACTAGAGTCTGTTTCTAGCTGAGAATTAAGTGTCAGATCAATAGTGAATATTAGGCCAGAATGATGAGGTTTATTTTTCTCTGTATGTACTCACAAGTCACTTTCATGTATATGGGCATTCATTACATGAGATCTGTATTGATAACTTAAATATTGCAAAACAGAACTTAACTGATAGGTCTCATTCTCTGTTCCCTCAGTGGCATGACAGCCAAAAATGCTACTGGAAAAAGCTTTTACTAGGGGAAAAAATAAAGCTCAACTCACTGTTACTTTTGTGTCTGTCTTGGCAGTTTTCTATCATGTGGTTCAGCTTGGCATTTTGTCAAACCTGATACTGTCTATGAAAATTACTGATTACATAATTAAGGATATTCAGTTGTGAGGTGATATAACTCATTTTCAGAGCATTTATGTAGCCATCTTGTATTTGCCCCTGCCTCAATGGGAAATGTTTAGATGTTTAGCATTTCCCCTAGTTAATTTACAATATCTAAATAGATTCAGTACAGTTTAGTTCTAAGTATCTTCAAAGATAAGGGGTTGGTAGATGTCAGGTTTGGAGGATCTATTTCTTTCTTAGAACTGTTGAATGGCACTAACTGGGTCCAGGTAGAGAATAATGGTTTGGGTGGGTGGCCATATACACTACAAAAAGAAGGGTATCTGTGTTCAGCTCAGTTTGTTATCTGAACTGGAACCAAGTTAAGCCTTTCTACAGAAAAATCCATTCCCAATTTTCTTCCAAGTATTTTTTTTCTTTCATTAGACAGTAGCCAGAGCCAAGAGCTAGGAAAGCCCATAATTTCGATTTCATACAAGAATACTAGTATACTGTAATTAAATGCAGGTTGCTTACTTGTAGCTGCCATTCTTCCAGTGGTGCATTCACAGAAATGAGCTCAAGTCCTTGCACAATGCCTAGGACTAGGAAAAACTTAAATAGCTAAGCAAATGTGTGGGTGGAAGCCTCTGCCCACTCCCTCAGTGCTTATAAAGACTGTCGTTAGTCTCCAGACTGAAGAATAGGTGAACAGAGGTGCCAGTCTGGTCTGACCCCGAGTGTCTGAGACTAACAGGAGGTGGTATTGGGTGGGTTGTGTGAATAGACAGATAACCCCTCAAGGAACAACAGTTCATTCTTCATGATCTCTGCATCACACATGGGTGACTAGCAGGCTTACCCTGTAGAGGATGGAGGGAAGCTGTCAAAACTTGTGAATGAAAGAGTGCTGCTCTGCTGAAAGTGCAGTCTGCCTTCACATAGATGTTGAGCTGGCAGTGCCTGATGGAAGTCAATGGTGTGGACCACATGGTGGCTTTGCAGATGTCCAGCAAGGAGACCCCAGGCAGGAGGACAGTGCATCTTGCCGAGGCTCACATGGAATGGTCCCACAGGTGTGATGGGAGGTGGAGGCCTGTCATCTCATATGAGGCTGATGATGGAGACCCACTTGGGGAGAGTGTGTGATGAAGTGGATTTCCCTTTCCTTGGGCTGTCATGGCAGAAGAGTTTACAGAGTGGCAGACCTGTTCAGTTCCTACTTAAAGAAGATAAGGGCCTTCCTGGCATTGAGCAAGTAAGGGCAGACTCTGTAGGAGAGGGTGGGTTAGTGAAAAAGGCAGGGAGGATGGCTGAGGCAGAAGGCTGAAGTGCCCTTGGTTCTGAAGGCTGGGTCTGGGCAGAGGACTGCCTTATCCCTATGGAAGGTCAGGTATGGGGGGTGGGCCCACATGGTGCAGAGTATGCTAGTGTCATGGACTGGTGTGGTAACTACTGGAAAGCCTACCTTCCAAACGAGGAGGTGCAGTTCCATTGTGGTCAGGGGCTCAAGGCTTCCTGGTGGGGGCCTGAAGGACAACCAACAGGCTCCAGGCTGGGCTGAGGGCCCCATGAAGGGGACTGTATTGCAGAGCCCTCTTAGGAACATGTGTGTCAAAGGGTATGTGAAGACAGATGTCCCTTGGATGGATGGATGGATGGATGGATGGATGGATGGATGGATGAAAGGAAGAGAGAGCCATCAGGTACATGTGTACTGATGAGGTTGGCAGGTAAGCTGAAATCAAGGAATTGTGGGATTAGAAAGGCATGGAAGAGAAAAGGTGAGAAAAGTGGACAGCGAAAAAACTCAGTCTAGCATGATGGTATTTGAAAAGGAGCTAGGGGAATTGCAAGGTGAACCCCCTTCCCTATCCTCCTTGGAAGCCGGAAGGGGAGGGTCTTCTGCCTACTCCTGAACACGCAGCTATTGAAGTTTTTCCCAGTCCTAGACATTGCATAGGTGCAGAAGCCTCTTTGTGATGCACAGAGACCACAAAGAAAAACCATACATCTAAGACCGTTGTAAATGCCCCAACAATTTTGGCAATTATGTCATGAACTATACAGAAAAGCTTCCGTTCTAGTAGAAAAGTTCGTTCAAACTTAGGAAATACTGTATAAAATCTGAAGGGAAATATGATTTTGTACAACCAAGTAGTCTGTATGTATATATTTTTAACATAATCAGGTTCTAATAAAAGATCAACACTGCTGTGAACAAGAATGGAGAATGTAATTGCTAGGCAAGTACAGGCATATCAATTACAGCCCTCACAATAAAGAACATTTACTATTGCACATTTGGCAAATGCGTTGACCCTTTTAACCCTTTACTGATAATTCCACTCAGGGAATCAGACAAGGGCACCGTCCGTCATTACAATCGGCTGTAATAATTCTGGAGCTAGAGAAAGGTTGCATTTTAATAAATCCTCCATTCCATAAATCTGCAGACTGCCCTTTTTGTTCAAAATAATGGTCATACTAGTGTCACCTGCAGAGTAGTCAGGCTGGGCTTCAAAGTGTTCTTAGGCAATGTTTTATAGCTTGTATATCTTTTTGGTTTAAGACCAAAAACCCCTGCCTTTTGAACTATATTGTATTTGGACTCCTGTACCATTTGCAAATTCATTCAAGAAGCAGCATCCACTTGCCATCTTCTCTTAAGGAATCAAGTCTCTATCTTAAGTCGTGGTGCTTGTACAATTTTTATTGTCTTAGCGCTATGCTTTCCATCCAGCGTACTGATGGCTGCTTGTGCCTTTTCTTCTATCAGACTGTCCTTAGATCCATTCCGCCTCTGAAAAGAACAAATTGGATAAACAAATATTTAATGAAGAACTGAGGAGGAATTGATTTATCAGTCCCAATCCTGCAAAGGGATTACTAATACCAATTTACATACATTTTTGCTGAAAGCAATGGGGAAGCTTACACCCTTTAGCAAATTAGTTAATCACCGAACTAAATGTGAAAAGAAATTACATGGAAAGAAAATGCCTACTTGTATGCTTAGATTTCAAGACACTAAATTTCCAATTTGTGTGCAGTAAATTTCATTTAACCAAAAGAGGTTATATGAAATTACTTTGGTTGCTAACTTGGTGAAATCCCTAGGTGATAAAACATTCTTATTTAAAAGTAATTAGACATATGAAAGTAGTAAGCCTAAAATGGCTTAGGGTCTTGATATTTGGAAAACCATTTCCTTTCATATATATCTGTTCATAGTTTAAGGTATCTGAACTCCCCTCTGCATGCCCCACCACCAAGAGAAGTTAGACTAATAGGAACCTAGGGTAGGCTCTTTTCTGAGCCTTGTTTTCTGAATCACTTTTTTTGTATTTTAATGTACTGGTTCCACATACATTTAAATGCTTTTTCCAGCCATTATGTCTGCAGTTTGGTAAGGTTTTTAAGTATTTAAGCTGAAATTGTGTCATCAGTCTTAAATCTCAGTGACAGGAAAAAATAAAGAATTTCTTGGAAAAATTAGTGGAAAATTTTGAATGTATCCCTGCTTGCAAATAGCTAATTAGTGCATTAGATCTTTCTGCCCTAGCCCAAATCATTTGATACAGCTTGCAGCACAATTCAAGCCTACATTGTTTTCTAATTTAGGATGTTCAGAAATCAGTAAACACTAATTGCTGTATCCTGTAATATTCAAAGGTCAATTTCAGTGCAATTTCAGTAATAGTGACCTGTCAGTGTTAGAGCTGCTAAAGAATAAGAAGTTATTTCTTTATTTTGGAAGAAAATAAAAGCTATAGCATACAAATAATGACTTCTAGATGCCATTTTTATAGTATTCTAGTGTTTACTGAGATGCAGAACATACCTGCCCTTGGTACACAATGGTTCAATATATTACACATATCAATGAATTGCACCTTAACATATTCTCTGACTGTGAGGTTGAGAGAACAAGTCTAGCTATTGTGCACTATGAACTTGGTGACTATCCTGGTCATAATTTAAACACTATTTTAAGCATCCTGCTAGAATTATATATTATAACCCTTTTAGTAAAAAAAAAAAAATACTGGGGGATCCATAAATATAAATTGAAATATTTTCAAAACATGCATTTTGAATTTTTTTAAAAATATTTGGCATGCATAACAATATACAAGTATACAAAACACTGTCAAAATATGCAAAATATGTCCAACCTGTTGAGAAACTGCAATGCTGGGGCACTGAGCATCTGAGGAACGGGTTACAGGTAAAGGAGGTACAAGGTCTGTTTTTGAACTGGAAAAGAAAAATCATACTGTATAGTGCTTATTGTGTAAAAAAAGTTTTAGGGAGATTGAAAGGTTACTGGTTACAGATATTTCCACTGATATGTTTATCTGCAACAAGATTTCTGGTTGACTAGTCCCTCTACCAGTGGGATAGGCAGAAGGTAGATCTCCAGGTTTTTTAGACCTCAATTCCTAGAAGCCCCTACCAGCATTGCCAGTGAGCAATTCTAAAAATTGTTCCAAACCTATAGAAATCTACTATCTATCCATTCTTGTTCTGTTGCACACTTGAAGCCCAAAGAAGAATTACAACCTGTATTATAAATGGATCCCAGCCTATTCTGGGAGCTTCAGCAATGAATTGTTGCTGCCTTGTATTCCAAGTCAGAGTTGCCTCCCATATTATGTTCAAAGCACTGACCTCTTTTCCTCCAGGCAACTTCACAAATTCCTGAGAGGAGGAAAAGGATTATTGTTTTCATACAGGGAACTGCCCTTTCCTCTGACAGGATAGCATGTCTAGGTTTTGTGCTTCTGAAAATAAAGGGAGGTCCAACATCCTGTCAGTAATGGTATAGTTTCTCCTTTAGTCATCACTAAAGTAGAATGAAGAATTGAGTAACAAGCCAAGGTGCAAATCACTAACCTTTCCCACCCAGCTTTTCCAGAGAAGTCAGCCAGAAAACACAAACTATCTACCTTAACAAGGTGTTGCATAATCTTGGTAAGCGATAATGGCATACATTCTGAGTGGGGGTAGTGATGGCTTTGACTTAACAAGAAAATTAAGTACTTACTTCACTTCTGACAAAACAGATCTCTCTCCATCAGAGCACTGGGACCTTCGATACTGGCGATAGCTGCGAGGGGAATGGGAGTGTCTAATACGAACAGGGTCACCCTGAGTCCTAAAGGAGAAGTCAATTTTGCAGGAGCAGATTACTATCTCTGGCACTGCATGTCAAAAGAATACAAAAGCTGATAACCATGTAAAATCCTTTTCATTTTGAAGGACTACATCCTTGATCAAGTTTACTTATAAAGTTAATATAAAGTTAATAAAATTTCTGCTCAAAATGGGAAAGATCAAGACCAAATTCCAGTACCAAAATTAATATAAGTACCCTACTTAATTGACTAAAAGCACTTTGACTCAAGGTGAAATACTCTGGCCTTGGGAGAAAGTCCCAGATGATTTTTTTGGATTTCCACCCTGGGAGAAAGGGAGAGCTTATCTTACAAGCTTCCATTATTAGGCTGTGGAAAGGTCTGCAGCCTGTGCTTAGCCAACACAAGAATACTGGCACTTGATGTGCTGGGAGACACTGTGGATGTGTAGGATCTGAGGATCTCCCATGTCCTCAAAGCCAAGAAAAAATAATGCCTAGCCCTGAAGCCACACAGTTCAATTCTATCAATTCCCCTTGGAATCAATGGCTGTGAAAAATTAAAACAAAAAGCAAGGGCAAGGATGAAAACAGCCACATTGAAGGGTGAAAATCTGGACCAATGCACAGAATCTACCCTGCTGTGTGAATCAACAGGGCAATGGAAAAAGCAGTTCCTTTGCCTATTTGCATGCTACTTAAAACAAAGAGGAAATTGAATATAGAGCACAAATTTTGATGGCAAAAATCACTTAAAATACATAATAGCATTCATATTTGTGATATACAGCTAAAATAACATCAAAATATACTGGGTAGACTTCCTGGCTTTTTAAAATTTCAGCACCAGGGCAGGAAAGACTTTGCTTTTCAATTTGATTATCAGAATGAAAGGAGAAAGGAAGTGGCCCTGAAAAGATAAGGAAAATACAGCTTGCTTGCATTAAAGGAAAGTCTCTGGAGATGGATTTAACTTGGAGTTATCATAGCAAGGTAGCAAAGGCTATAATCTGATGTTCTCTCTAGGGCAAGGGAGAGAAATGTAATCTCAAATGGAGAGCTGACCTCCCAAACCATTTTCCTGGCAAACAGAAGCTTCTGTGGCCCTTGCCTCCCTAATGCCTGTTGGGGCAAAAAGGTTATGACTTCCCAGGTTCCTGAGATCACACTGGAGTTGGGGGAAATGTATGTTAGGCCTGGGGATGGCAGGATGTTGCAACCAATCAGAGGAAAATTTAAAAAAAAATGGGACAATGAAAAATGTCACTCATTCCTTCCATCTGTCCTGTTGCAAGCTGGCAAGGCTTCGGTTAAAGCACTTCTTCAGCCTTTGGATTTGAACCTCACGCCAAAAAAAACCTCACTAGGTGCTCTTAAAGCAAGTTACTGTTCTCTCAGACACCTTGCAATATGGGAATAATAATACTAGGCTTTTCATGGCTGTTGCCATACATTTTGTTGATTTGTTACATTTCTATACCACCCTATAGCCAAAGCTCTTTGGGAGGGTCACAACAATTTTTGAAGTGTTTTGGATATTCTAAAGCATGTTATCATCACTGAACATTATTAAGTCAGAGTGAAACCTGCCTTTTCTCCCAGTACAGTCTTGAGAACTTTCGGAAAACAGGAAACTGACAAGTCACTAAGAATTAACGTTGATTTAGTGAACGTAATGGTGTGTGCATGAAAGTTTATGTTTCATATCCAGCTTTGAAAAGTTTACCAATCCTGTTTCTCCTGCTCAGGGATGTGGCAGAATCACATTGTGATGCAAATAGCAACTCGACTCCTGTCAGAAGCACTTTCATGCATCACTACGTGAAAGTCCCAGATGGCCAATTATCAGGATGAAATGGAAGTTTGATCTGAGGGGAGCAATGGTGCTTTTGCAACTAATGACCAAGCTCTGAGGAAGCAGGGTCAAACATGTCAACTCATCATTTTAGATGATCAGAGTAAGAGTGCATTTCAAAGAGTTTATGAGAAAAGGTTTCTTGACTGTGTTACCCCAAAATTATTTTCTAGATTTTCAGCATGATGCTATTAGCTATTCAGTACATAGGCAGGAACCACTTCAGTGTAGGAGGTGCCACTGAAAGCCAAGTTAGATGCGATGGTAACCCAAGAACAGCCCCAAACACACAGGAAGTAGAAGGCAGTGGATTCTGAAGCAAAGAGTGGAACAGGTGCCTGTATAAAGACTTCAGCACACCAAATGAATATAGGTATATTACACCAAAAGATACTGAGAAAATACATAAGAATTATAATGCATCGTTAGATTTTAACGATCTAAGAATAGAAGCATTCTTATTTTGTAATTAATATACTCACTCAATTTTAGTATATGGAATCTCTCTTAGCTGTTCCTCAGAGAGGCCAGATGGATCCACAAGTTCCTTTCTGCAAACAGATGAGAGAAAATAGAAGTTACACAACTTTGCATATAAATATATATATTATTCAGTAGTAACTTCTCACTCCTGCAGAATTACGTACTGAATGTGTTTCCATAGTTCTTCTTTGGCTTGCACATCTGGACTTCTCCTATATAAAAGTAAACAAAGATACCATGTCATCACATATATAATCCTGTGCAAACTCAAAATCCTGACACTGTGCCAATGAATAATAGCAATTTAACTTGTTCAAATTTCAACAGAGAAGCAGCTTTAAATTTAAATGACATGGAAATGTCTCTTTTTTAGCCAAGTTGGATGGTGTATTACAACTGGTCTTCCTTGAGCCTTCAGTAAAAGCACCTGGGTAAGGTGCTGTACGTGGCCACCATCAGTGTTGGCTGTTTTGCTGCCTTTCTATCTCTCTGCCTTCCCCCCTCCCCCCATTAATCAGGTGGCCACAGGACAAGAATGAACAAGTCTTGTTTCCTTTTTCCAAACGTTTCACAGAAGTTGGAGCAAAGCTCCTGTGCCCAACAACCTCTGTAACACATCTTGTGAGGAAAAACAGAGGGGATTCATTCCTTTCCCACCTCCAAATTCCCTTTATTCGCTATCTCTTCTCTCTCCCCTTCTCTACCCCTTACCAGCAGTAGGAGCAAGTAGTAAGAGAGGACTGCCAAACAAACCCCAGACAGATAGCTATGGAGATGGGGCAAGCCACAGAGCACAATAAAGGGAAGCTACTTTAAAGCAAGGTAAATCCTAAGTGAGAAAGTGGCAAAGACCTGAACCAACCATACACTGCTTTGCAGGGCAAAGCCAGTAAAAGTACCGGAGTAATAAAGGGCAGATTTCTTGCTGATCAGTTATGCTAACTGCACTCCTGCGCTTGGGAAAATACCTTAAAACGGCACATGGATGCAGCCTGTTGCCATCTGTATGTGAGGTCTGTGGGGAGTCCCTAGACTTAAATCCTGTGGTCTGGCCTAGCAGCACCACTGCCAAGTGCACAAGGATTGTTTGGCTCCATTTCTGATAAAAAGAGCAACCTTATCTTGCTGACTCTTCCTACCATTCTTTTTTTTCCCTCCTGAATGCTTTTGCCTATCTAAGACAAAAGCTTTGGTACATTAGTTAACATGGGGTGTGGGGAAAAACTGCTTTAATAACATCTTTCAGTCCTTAATGCTGAGCTGCTTCCTTTATTCATTAAGTCCCATTCATGCAAAGCAGCAGCTGTGAACTCTGCACTTATCCCAAGGGACTGTCATCCTGGTCTGAATCTGTAATAATCAGGCTCCGGGGGATGCAGAAGCAATCCATGGTTCTCAGGAAGCCTGAGTGAATGGCTTTGATACTGCTGTCTTGGCTACCATAGCAAGGCAATGCCCTGAGGATTCCATTTAGCTCAGGGTCCTCAGCACTTCACATACGGTGGAATTAACTAGATAAGACTGTAAGAGTAGTTCATGAAACATGCAAAATGGGACAGACAAGTCAGTAGCCATAAGGATAAATAGTTACAAAACAGCTAGATAGAAAGGCTGTGCTTTTCATTCCTTGAGGGAAGGGTTCCCTCATTCATCTGCAGCCAGTGGCTTCTGATTAGGTACAGCCCAGCAGAAGTGTGTTAAGTGAGTAACCCACAGCCATTTAATTCTGAGAGGATTATTGCAAAACCTGAGTTTAACTATACTGATGGATAAAAAGGGGACAGTAAAGAGAAAATGTGTGTGTGGGTGCTATGATTCCCACCCACCATGTTCCCACCAACAGCATTATTTATGCTGTTAGCCATCCAGAGACGCTGGTAATTGGACAGCATAATTTCATAAATAAATAAATAGTTTAATCTCATGTTTAGGAAGAATTGAGCTTTACTACAAAATCGTATCTGACAGCAAAGACAAGATAAGAGAAAATATATTCTTTAAAGACAAACAGATCATATAGATTGCTTCACTTGTTTATTATGTTCAGAATAATATGAAAGATTCCTTAAGCCTGCACTAAAGACAGGATGTAGCTACTGTATAGTTCCTAATCGTCTGCTCACATAAACTGTTGTATCAACTGGAACGAGGGACTGGTGCTTGAGCTGGCACCAAGTTTCTGACCTGGATCAAGTCAGAATCCTAGCCTCACTGCTGACAGAGTAACACCCAATAGCACAGCAGTACAGGTTTGCCCTTTGTTCTGTAAATACCAGCTCAAATATACCATCAGCTTTGGGAACAGCAGCTCTCTGAAAACCTAAAATCCCCTGAATAGCCCATGAATGCTTGAACCAGCACAAAATATGGACTCATAATAGAATTGCTTTGTTGTTGTTGTTGTTCCAAGGGCTGGATAATTTAACTCTACTTGCTATGCCCTTTAAGCTGCAAATGGGCGAATGGTGGTATAGCTGCAGCTAAGCCATCCCACTGGAATGAGGATAACTGTTAATGAGGTCTCCTTCTAATCTAAAGCAGGGCTGCACAACTTTAGAGCCACAATACAAAAGCCCTCCAGGGGCTACATAAATATATTTTTGATCTCTGCTTGAGGCTGCAAAAACTGACGGTTAAACATGTGGCATACCAAATTGAGGTCCAAGTTCTCAATGGACCTCAGTTTGGTCCACTCAGTCTTGAAGCACACTGGGTGGTTTTGGGCCAGACACTGACTCTCAATGTAACCTACTGACAGGTCTAAAGGATAAAAATTAAAAGATGATCTTAATTTCCTTGCAAGAGGAAAAATGTTGAATTTATACATAATAAAAATATAAAAGATACAAACAAATAAATAAGTATAACAAATAGAATTGAATGCAGAAAGACACAAACTGCGCTGGCCTGCTATGTTACAGAAAATCCAATACACAGGGATTTCATTAGCAATGGGCATGTGTGTCATGTTTATTCTCAGTTTTAATTTTTTAAAGACAAACTTTAATCAGCTCCATATGCTAATTCATGTCTGTATTACCTTTATGCTTGCATCCACACCCTTATTAATAATTCCATGTGAACCTTTGATTTGCAGCTAGGCAAACTTTTGAACTTTTAACTATGGAATTTTTATGGTTATTCTTAATTCTGAAAAGCCCCTTGGCTATACAGATGTTTGACTTGAACACTTAGAAATGAACCCTACAGCACTAGAATGTGGACTTTTTATGTTCACTGTTTCCATTAAAAAAGCTAATTTCTATTCAGCTTTGTCTTTCAGTTCTCAGTCAAAATACAAGCACCAAGCAGAACTGGGATATCCTCATTAAACCACTTACATTTCAACGACAAGGTGAATTCAAGCACCAACAAAATTAATCTAACCCTTTTTAATGAATCTGAGAAAAGTTATCTGAAAAGATAGTGGCTCTCTTTTTTCAAATATGTTTGTTTTAGCAGGGAAACAGAAAATTTGAAACACATTTTTGTGTTAATCATCTGATTCACTTAACACAGAAACAGGCATCTGCACATAGACCTGATATACCAAATTGACAGCTGAGAAAGGGAAGAAACCAGCACCCAGCCTGCATACCCAGCAAAGTTCTCAAAAATAGTGCAGTGAACAATGCTGGTGTGAACTACAGCATACTCAAGCTGCTGAAATGCAATACCACAAGATGTAGTGATAGTCCCCAATCTGAAAAGATTTAAAGACAGAGTTGTCCATGGGGACTCGATGGGTCACACACGACTTCGCGACTAACAACAACAACAAAGACAGAGTACACAAATCCTTGAATGGCTACTAGCCATGAAGCCTATATACTGTATTACCTCTAACTTTGCCTCAAAAAACACTTGGGTAGCAAGGTACCATCCTGTTTCTGGACTTTATATAGACAGCTGTTTGGCCAGTGTAGGAACAGGATGCTGAACCTAGGCTTTTGCTCTAGATTCAGTACAGCTTTTCTCACAATCTTAAGTAGTGCTGTTTTGCAGTGGAGGGGTACAAGCATAAAGGGGCTTCTGTCCAGGCACATCATGCATTCTCACACCTCATGCATTAGGTTAGGCTGTTTGAAGCTACTGCTCCCCAGTCCTGACTACTCTGCAAATACAGCATGGATTTCTGCTGAACATGCAGTTCTTTGGATCAAACCCAATGCATGTCAATCTACATGAAGTCAGTGTTTCACAATCACTTTCCTATGGAATAATATCATAAACTACCGTAGTATCATACATCATCATCCTAAAGCAATACCGTTCTACTTGAAAGGGAGATATTTAGGGTAAAGTTATTTAAGACTGGGGCCATGTCATCTTAAACATTTACACAGGAAAGCATCTGACAAAAGCCTCTATCAGAATAAAATAGTCTTTAAGGTGTCACAACACTTTCTATTTTTTTGCTGCAATGGACTAACACAGCTATTCCACTGAAGATTATATTAGAGATGCAGCTCAGTAGCAGTGCATTTTACATGCAGAAGGTTTTATGCCTGCTATTTGCAGTAAAATGATTAATGTACTATGGAATGGAAATTTCCCCTCCCTGTCTGAGACCCTGGACAGCAGCTACAAGATCTTTTCTTATGTTCCTTCCTATAAATCTTTTCATTCACTGTAACAGCTCGTAGCCTTTTCTTTCTACTGCATTCTGTTAAATTTTAAGGAAAAGAAAAGCCAGGCATGGCAGTCAATTATGTGGCTAGCAAAACCATATTGCTCATATTCAAACTGTCCACAAGAGGGAGCCTCTGCTATCTCAAATAAGTATCACATTAATTGAACAAAATTAAATGGACACAAATCTTTTTCTAATTTCCTCTGAGGAAGAGCAACTTGGCTTTGAACATGTCAGATTTAGTACCTTCAAATTCTGACTGTTAGAAGCATTATACTCCTCCGATACAAGTGAAATCATCTTTGGCTTATGTTCTTTCTTTACCTTTAATAAATACAAGAGAGATAAGAATTGCACATGCTATGACATTCTGATTTTGTGTGCATATGTGAGCACATGTGTGCATGTGAGTAGGGATGTACAAATTTTTTTAATCCATTCTGTCTGCATTGTATCAGGCACCTCTTTTTCCGTGATCTGCTCACTGATGGAATCACATTTTGTTCTTTACCTGCACTAGTGAAAACCAATCCACAAAAATTGATGAAATGTGTACTACTCAGAAAAAGCCACAGGTTGGATTCATAGAAATTCAAACTAATTTGAATCTGTTGAGTTATCCGATATTCTGAATCCCTCTTGGATTAAGTGGGCTTCTTTGTACATATACTGAATACCAAGTTTCTGATCTGATTCTCATATCCCCCACATTAAACTGTATTGTTAGTCAGATAGAGCATTCAGTAGCAAATGTATATGAAACCATGTGTTACAGATTACTCTCTAAGGAATTTCAGATATCCACAAAAGATAATAAATCTCTTTTGGAAATGCATCCAGAAGCTAGGCAACAGTGTTCAGAGATCTTTCTTAAGCATGCTAGCATTCCCTTAGATCGCATTTCCTCAACATGCTGCCTTCCAGATATGCTGTACTACAGTGTTTTCAGATCTGCTTAACTAAGAACTGGAGAACTACAAGGACATAATTGCTAGAAGTCATCTTTTTAGATGTCTTCTAAAAAATTAGCAGGATTAACGTACGATCGAGATCTGTGCCTGGATCGCCGGTGGTTGGACTCAGATTGGTTTTTCTCCTTTTGCCTCCTCAGCACGGCTTCCCACTGAGGAGCTGAATCAACCATGTCATTCTCCTGCCGTAACCTGTGGGGAGATCAATATATTATGACTGTACATCTGAGGGAATCAAAGTTTAGTGAATTTTCCACACCTTCTGAAAAGTCATATTAAACTTCAACTTTGTGAAAAGTTTTAAAGGTGCACTTAGTCATCTGTCACACATGCCAATAAAGACGAGGAGATGAAGAACAATCACAGAGACAGTGTGCCTGTATATAGCAGGTGCTGGGGAGCAAGCGGGAGCAAACGTGTGGTGTTGCACTCAAATCCTGCCTGAGTGGTTCTGTGGGCAGCTTGCTGGCCACTGTGCAAACAGAATGCTGGACTAGATGGACCACTGGTCTGATCCAGCATGGTGCTTGTTATGTTCTTAACATCATGGGAGAGCAAACAACCAAGGTTATAGACTTCTGTGTACCATCAATTTCACTGAGTCATATTGAAGCATGGGCTTAGCTGCACTATCAAGTCGAGCCTTTTCAAAACATCTTGAAGCTCAGAATTCCTAACCATTCCTGACTATTAGCCATACTGGTTAGGGCTGATGGGAACTGAGGCCCAAAACATTTGGACCACCTAAGAGAAGCTTGAAAAATATCTTTTCAGTGCAAGTGGAGAACTTATTTTCTTAGGGATTTTAGTGTTTCAGGTTGTGTTACTGCAAAATCTGTTAGGACACAATCCTGTGGCCCCCTGAAATCAACTGGGAGGCCATAGGTTTATTTGGAGTCCCAGCTTTTAGTCCCAGGTTTATTTTGGAGTCCACTGGCTGCTTATTAGTTGCAACTGGGCCTCAGAGGGCATAAAAAGGGCTGTACTGGGGACAGGGAGCAGACAAAGCTAGGAGCACTGACTTACACCAATTCCCACTGCTCCCCCCCCCCCCCAAGTTTAGTTTCCTCCCCCTTTCTACACTAAAATAAGGATGGATGAAAATTAGGTTAGGGTTATACCAACTATGCTATTAAAACAGGATTCTCAAGCCTGGGCACTAGAGTTTTATTCAGCAAGTAGTTCTCTATTGGACATGTGCCAGAGAAATGTCATGCTCATGATATTATTTTCTTATTCACCAGCTCTGTTTTTTTAATCTGGGACTGGATAGATTCACTCTTGTTTTGGTGAGATTTTGAGATATTGATCATGCATTCATAAACATTATACTGTAGCCAGTGATAACAGAATCATAGGATTGCTGACTCATACAGTTGGAGGGGATAAACTATTCCATTCCCCAAAGACAGAACTACCTTTCTAAAGGTCTGACACACATTAGTCTACGGAATCCACAGCACCGTGTGCATTGAGTAGAACAGCATGTGTTATACAATTAGGGATACTGAACCAATGTGACCTGGGCAAAAATCCTTTTCAACCTATTCAGGACCATCAATCAAAGCTTTAGTAAAATGCATTTGCTGAGTCACATCAAGGACATTTGTCATTTTATCAAGGTAATTATCTCTAGTTGAGGCAGTCTCCCTAATGCTCCAGGGCATGTTGGAGAAAATAAAGTAACAGGCAAGAACAGTGCTGATCTGAATTATCTGTTATGCATGCATGCACATGACGCACATGCATGAACACACGCAATGGTATTCTTGCTATTTTACCTGTTATCACTAGAGCTGAAACATGCTACAATTTTCTACACAACAGAGTGTTGTTGTTTTTTTTACAAAGGATTTATGGGGAAATCACCCAATGCCAAGTGCTCTTGCTCTAATACTTCATGTGCAATTGGTAAGGAAGGATATGCACATTTTTTGCCCTGAAATAAGCAATTACTTCTTAGGCATGGCAGGAATGAGAAATCCAAATTTATGAATACAGAAATTTTAAAAATCATGAAAATTAATGAGGTAGGCAAATATAATCCATGTAAGCAGAATTCTGCTTAAAGTAGGTATACTGTAAGTTAAACAAGTTATGCACTCTGTTTTCAGTACTTGCAGAATTTCATAATCACCTATGTCTCTTCTTCCGATGTTCCCTATTAGAATTTTCTGATTCACTCCCACTGCTGGTATTACAACGGGATCGGGATCTAGAAGGGAGAAAAAGAAAATGATACTGACAAAAAATGGTTCATTGTAACTGAACTGTAAACCTAAAATAGAAAACAATGAGAAATTCTGTTATAAAACAGTATTGCTATTGTTGTTTCACTGCCACTGTCATGAATTGTGCCCTATCCTATTTTAATCCCTTTTACAGGTACATAAACTGGAAAATATTATGTCTATTATTATTCCTTCTAAAAGCAAAACAGGTAGCGTATACCAACAAAAATGTATCAAAATGCGAAATAGGAGGAAACAATCATATGTTCAGGGGAACCCAGGGTTTGCAAAAGCACAAAAAGTAATGGAGGAACGGGAGAGAGAAAACCTTAAATGGCCCATGAGGATTCAGTAGCTGTGGGCAACTTTTCTACTTGTGGAATTTATTAACTGGCTGCATCTACTTTCACTTTCTTCACAAAACTGACATCCAAACAAAAGCATTTCCTTTTTTGCTACATAACCTCTAGGTCAGGGGTCTCAAACTCACGGCCCGCGGGCCAATGCGGCCCGTGGGACGATATTTTGTGGCCCCCACTTGATATCAAAGTTTAGTGATAGTGTGGCGCATGTTTTTCTCACACACACCTGTGTGAGTCGTTACCCTGGGTGCAATGTTCCCTCTAAGGTGCGCGCCAGGACGGGCAGGGCAGGGCACGGTGGAGGGGCCCTGCGGCCTTCAAAGCGCCGGCGGCACCCAGGCCGGTCTCCGGGAGCGATGCGGGATGAGTGGCCCACCACCACCATGGCGAATACTTGATGTGGCCCAGCCTCACCCAGACTCTACTTCCAGCAGCCCCCAGATAAGTTGAGTTTGAGACCCCTGCTCTAGGTGATGCTGTAGTATAGCAAAAAAAAAAGTGGTTTCTTTTGCTTCCACAATTATATGCTGTATTTTCCCTGCTCTGAAAAATCTTCCACGAACATACTAGCTAGAAATTGAAGCAAAACTGAAGTTTGCAACATCAGTTAAAGAGTCCCTAAACAACTATGAACAGGGAATGATGAGCACACAATAAATGCCTTGCGTAGAAAAGCCTGGAATGTTGATTGTCCATTATGAAATGAGATAGCGGGAACTCTGCACAGGAGCATTCCTGCTAGGAGCTGAGGGCACCCTGCAATATGTCATTGTAAATCTCTTTTGTATTATTCACATTCAAGCTCTCACCTTCTTCTAAGTGGTTGTCCTGGTTCATTTTCACTCCCACCTGAAGGGTGATGTCGACGTGAATATGGAAATTTTGGTGATTTGTTGCGGTCACTGGGAGAATTGTAAAGTCCACTAAGGTCAAAGAAGAGTCAGAGAATTCAACTGACAAGAGTGTTTCACAGCAGGTATTGCAAATATCTCATTTATTTTGTACTATTACTTTGTTGGCAGTGAAATAGGTGATAAGATCTGGTCAACCTGTGATTGAAGTTATTATTGCTTTAGGGGAATTAATATTACACTGAACTCTTCAAGCAAAGAACAATTGCACAGAAGTCTTTGGAGAATGCATGCAGGACATTAAAGGCATTTCCAGTGATGTAATCACTTGAAGAATTCACAAAATAGGGTAGAAAAGGCACATTATTTCTTGTACAGTTTTGCAATAAATAATTCCTTGTGAATTCTAGACCCAAGTCATAAACTATGTGCTTTCCTAATAAAACTAGTGAAAATAAGATCCTGCCACAGCCTTCCCTGAAGAAAATAAGGTATAAAGATCCAAATTATGGACAGAATTAGTGACTTATTATTCATGAATGTTCCCTAGTCACCATGGTTTTTTCAATAATATACATTAAGAAAGTGCCCAATAATTATGGTATTATGGAGTTCATTAATACATTTGCAGTTCATTAACATAAAAGCATAACAAGTGGGGACATAAAATAATATGTGAAAATGGATACCCGAGAGTTATTTTCCTACTGCTGAGTTTACATTTTTAAATGTGTGTACTCTGTTTTGTGGCTCTCAATCAATACTTCCAAAAAATAATCACTGAGTTTTCAATTTGAAACAATTGAACTGGATCTATAAAATAATCTCTAAAATATAATGAATATTCAAAAACGCTTATTTTACATTAGCATCTAATCTGTATCAGATTAATTATATCATAGGCTTTTTTGGCACAGAAATACTTGAATTCAGCACAGTTGTGGGATGTACTAGATGGTGCCCCCATTATTCATTGCAGACGACCTGCTCACACATACACATTCACATTTGCTCATACATACCATGCAAATAATAGACACATGCCACACAGTTCACAGTCATCAGCTCTCACTCTAAGCTACCTCATGGGGAATGGAGGGAGAGGGAGAAGAACATGTGTGCTTCTCGCTCTCCTTAGAGAAAGGATAAAATATAAATGTACCAAATAAACTTCAGAAAATGTGCACATGCATATACTATATTATTGCTGAGCCTCTGCTGAGTCCATTGTGCAGGGAGGAACTGCTGCTAGACTACAGCAACAAGAGGTTCTTCTAACAGCCACAGAAACACCCACTTCCCAGTAAGGGGGAGTCAACGGAGCCCCTTTCTGCTGACTCTGCTGATCATCCTTGTTCTGGAAGTCAGGAGAAATACTTGATTCTGCTTATTTCAGAAGCTGTTAGTTCGAGTTGCATGGAGCCAGCCTTGGATACTGTCCTCTGCTCTCCTCCCCACAACAGATACATACACACAGGTGAGGGAAAGGCTTGTCTTGTTTCTCTCCTTTTCCATTATCCCCCAACCCCCAATACTCTTTCCCTCTCTATTTACTGAGGCAGCTACAATAAAGTAAAGAAGAGGAGCTACTCACAGTTGACAACTGAGATTGCGAGACTGTAATAAACCCAGTCCAGCTCCCCATATATCAGTGCCTGACAAGTGAAGCCCCCAAGGATGGCCTGACTCTCCACAAGCATAAAAAACCACACACACCCTTTCTGCAAAGGGAAGGCAGCCCTACCATTAATTGAAACTGGTTCTGGCCTCCAGTGTCTGACCTATTATCAACATCCAGATTTAATAAGCTTGAAAACAGAGGTCGTCTATGTCAGGAGATCAAAATCTAGAGAAATCAAAAATGTGCATTCTTTGCTTAGCAAAGGTGGATGATTTGATCATGTTTTCAGTGTTGTTTACCTTTGTGGGCCATTTTCTTCCCATGGTGCATTGGTTTTACTTCTTTGGGTTTCTGGACTGCTCTCATTTCTTAATTTCTTAAAACTATTAAGCACAGAAAAAATATTTTTATTATATCAACTTTTTGCTAACAAATGAACATGTAAGTATTTTCACATTCCACTCACTAGAAATTCGAAGGGATTTGCTTTTCACAGTGTCACATTTTTCCCAAAAATGGGAAAGAAGTTATTGGTCCAGATTGGAGCACATTCTGACCACTCCCATCCACCCACCTCATGGAGCAGTGCTCAGACTACCCTGTTCTCCAGACACAGTAGCTCTGCCTCCACCAATCCCATACATTTACATGGGAACAGGAAAAAACCCACACCATCTCTGCATGCAAGCCAAAAGCATAGTATTGATTACCACAAGATCCTGCTCTCCAAGAAACTGACAGTGTGATTTCGGCCTGTGTGCTAACACTTTTATATAGATAAGTTACACATATTTATTTATATTTATTTATTTAAAATTTTTGTATGCCGTCCCCTTGCTATATATCCTCAGGACGGCTGAGGATAAATAAATATAATACAATACAATTAAAACCCGGAAACACCCTGGCTGCACAATTAAAACCTATAAATATTAAACATTGTTAAAATATTGTTTGAATAAAAAGGTCTTAGCCTGGCACCGAAAAACAAATAACGATGGCGCCAGGCGGACCTCTCTGGGGAGCGCATTCCACAGATGGGGTGCCACCGCAGAGAAAGCCCTCCTCTGGGTGCTTTGCTTCCTGATGTCTCTCACAAAGGGCTCCTGGAGGAGAGCCTCTGCTGCCGATCTCAAGGGGTGGGAGGGCAAATATGGATGCAGGTGTTCCTTTAGGTATCCAGGTCCCAAGCCATTAAGGGCTTTATAGGTGATTACCAACACCTTGAATTGAGCCCGGACTTCGATGGGAAGCCAGTGAAGCTGGTAGAGGACTGGGGTTATATGAGAATAACGCCCAGTCCCCGTCAGCAACCTGGCTGCTCTATTTTGCACCATCTGAAGTATCCGGACTGTCTTCAAGGGCAGCCCCACGTAGAGCATGTTACAGAAATCCAACCGGGAAGTAACCAATGCATGCGTCACTGTTGCTAGGCAGTTGTCCTCCAGGTAGGGACACAGCTGATGGATTAGCTGAAGCTGATGGAAAGCGCTCCTCGCCACCGCCGTCACTTGAGTGTCCAACAACAGCTCCGGGTCGAGGAGCACTCCCAAGCTGCAGACCCTGTCCGCATAAATGTCTTCTCTGCCACATTCATGCTTGGAGTTGGCAGTGGTGTGGTGTACTGGGTTGGCAAAGAGAGCAGATTTTTCCATCCTTTCTCTGCAATGAGCCAGTTAAATATTAACTAATTCAGCCCATTGTCAGAAGCACTCAGAAATACAAACTGGATTTCCTGAACAGAGTTCTGCTGCCTCTTATAGTGAGCCACTCATGCCTGTAAAAAGAAGGCTGAAATAGCCAGCTTATCCTTACAGGTAAAAGCCACTCAGGCAGACCTCAGACTCCTTATCAGGTCTGGCTATAATAACAGCTGCCAAGTCAGAGAATAATCTTAGCCAGGAGGATAATCAAATTCTGTCTGTGTGATTGTCTAGGAACTGCCCAAGTATCTGCACCACCAAACAAGTTTGCCTATTCCACAGGATGTTTCTCAAGAACAGGGATCCAGAATATTAGGGCCATGGGCCAAATCTAGTGCTCTGAGGATTCTCCAAATAGCTGTACCACCTTTCCTCTAAATAACCAACTGCTTAGTGATTTGCCAGCTTCTGTGCAGTATTTTTCCCATTCTAAGTGGCTGAAATACTTCTCCTAAGGCTTATTTACTAGCAGTAAGAGTTTTGACCTGGTATTTGGCACAACTCCAGTTTGCTTTTTGCCCCACTTTGGAGCAATATGACAGTGGAATCAATTACCTAGCAAGGCTGCAGGCTCTCCCACATCAGAGACATTCAAGATGCAGCTGGATAGCCATCTGAGAGGGGTGCTTTAACTTGGAGTCCTGCATTAAGCAGGGGGTTGGCCTTGATGGCTTTCTAGGCCCCTTCCAACTCTACTATTCTATGAATCTATGCATTTATTAGTCGTAGGGTTATTTGAGTGTTTTTTAACCCTTGAATAACCCACAATGACTAAGTTGAAACAATAGTTTTTTCCACCTGTGTCATGTGAACCAGCTAAAAGTTTAAAACTCAGACTTCACACTGAGAAACTTAATTTTGCATCATTTTCACATGATGGAAAACCCACAAATACCTATCACCAACACTACAAAGTATGTGAAAACGCAATTAAAATTCCAGTTGTCACCTTACTACTAAACTGAATTTGGTTTAAAAATATGGACTTATTTCTGTACACTGATATGCAGAATACTGTTAATGTTTAAAGACATTCCATGCATGCATGTGTGCATGCAATCAGTGTTTCTGCATCCAGTGAGGCTTTACAAGAGAGAACAAACTAATCTTGGGTGCTGAACTGTGTGCAGTAGATTCCTAAACCGTTTGTTGTTTAGAGGAGACACACATTTCACAGCATAATGCTAATCACAGTAATGCCCCACTTCTTATGATTATTTGCAGCAGAATGCTTGAGAAGGGGATAAACAATTTCAGATTTTTGAAAAAAGGTTTGAATAGGAATTTCATGGGTGATTTTGAGCCTTTAATTTATATTGTATAGAGACAGTCAATGAGTCATTTTTCTTAGCAATTAACAAAAGGTTAAGCTTTGATGATTAAACTTGAAAGGGTTCCTTGGAAACATCTCTTAAAATGTTCTGTGAGAGTGATTTCCAGAACTAGAAGGAATGGCTGAACCTGTTTAACAATTGTAGCTGCGAATATCAAAGCACCAGGGATCCTGAAATGAGACTCTCAGCAGTAAAGCTCCAGCATCTTATCTTTTACATCACCAGGGCAGCACGTCTGCTGAAGGACCTGCCATCTACCCAGTCGTGTCTACCCAGAGGCACTGCACAGGTAGCATTACAAGCTTCAATGGCAGGTTCATACCTGGTCAAATGGCCAGCCTTACCAATAAGCAGAGTGAGGCAGCTGCCTCACCCATGAAGGGACACCAAGTTTTTAGTTAGTTGATGCATTATCGTTGCATTATGAGTGGCGGCTGAGGGGAAGAGCACTTTCTACCTCACACATCAAAATAATTGAATCTGAGTACTGTGGGGTACAATTTGCTGGATATGCAGGGAATGGCGTGGCATTTGTTGTTCCTCCATCTCATGCAGCAATGTATCTTGGCCTAGTCCTGGAACTTGCTCAAGGCTGCAAGTCTCTTATCTGAGCATCCTGCCTCTGAATAAGGCAGGATGCTCTCTGGTTTGCCACAGGTTTCTTAGAATAACTGCTGCCTTTGGAAGCTTACAATTTTGCTGCTTTCTGTACTTGCCATTCTTTGCCTACCACAATGGAAACCATTAATAACAACAACAACAGTATCATACAGATGTCCAGGATTCAGACAGTGATCTTTCTTCCCTGTACAGAAGCAGGAGTAAAGAAAGGATTTAAAGAAGAGCAACCACTGAATTGTTTCAGATGTGCGACTGCAACTGGTTCTTGGAGTGCTCAGAGAAGTCACACTACAAGTAATTCTTTCTGGTTCTTGAGCTGATACTGTGCATCATGCTGAAAAGCACACATGATATTCTGCAGGATACAGAGCCCCAGATCTCAAGAGTTATTTGAATTGACAGAGAAAGGACTATGCAAAATGTGGCTGCATTAATAAAGGGAAGTACAATGTACCATTAAGAGGAAAATGCTTGCATCAACTCTGTGACAATACTTTGCACAAGTAGAACTGAGATTAATTATTTGGTGATGAATACCCAGCAACTCTATAGCTAAAATAGATTTTTGATGAAGGCTGACAGCCTAGATTCAATTTCCAGTACCAGCCTAGATTCAATTTCCAGTTTTAAAAAGAGATCACCCTTTAGTCTTGTCACAGGTATTTTTTCTAGCTCTTTTATCATTACCTTTTCATTGGTGAGGGAGCAATAATTTTGGTAGTTCCTTCATTTTCTCCAGTTTCTCTATGTGCATTAACCTGGTTTGTAGAATGAGATCCTGAAAGAAAGAAAAATCTTTTTGTAAAAATTTAATAGCTTTCTTGCATTTTGGAGCATATCAAATATGCAGATATTTTACTGTATCTTCAATTTATGAAGATGAATGTGTGGCAGATTTGTTATTTAATGTTCTGAAAACATGGTACGCAAAGAAGGCATCCACTATGTTGAAGGTAAACAGGTCTATAGATGGCCTGAGCTTGGAAGGGAGACCACCTGGAAACCACATGTAGCCACCTTGAGTTCCACAATGGGAACAAGATGGCATATAATAAATAAATACAGCCAACCTACAAGAAAAAAAAAACCTGATGTTTCAAGAAATGAAAATAAGCCTCAGACCAATTTCTTATTGGCATCTTTCTCTACTATGTAATTCTTCAATTACACAGTAATTGAAAAGAGAAATAAGTTGTGTTTTTTTAGGTAATATAAACATTTCCACAAAGCTATGGGTGTAATTCTCACGGAAGCTTTGTTCAAACAGGAGTCATGATATTACCCCCTTTAAGTGAGAAGCAGTATTTATAAATCAAGCCCTAATTATGAAAATTCTGCAGAATAATTTATTAAGCTACCTAACAGGGAGGGAGGACAAGTCATCAGCATCACAGCTATGGGAAATCAACTGAAGATGAGAGGAGGAAAACACACCAAGGGCCTGTTTAGAAGTCTAAGCCAGCATTATAATCACTTAAATAGGTGAGGATTGTGAAGCAGATATTTTAAAAAGCCTTTGAGGGTTGAATTATAAGCACTATGCAGATAAAAGATATGTGCATAATTATGTCAATTACTCCTTAAAACTTAGCATGTAGTAATGTAGTTACTTCATTGTGGGATGCTGCATGAAATAGTTTATAACATCACAATATGAAACATGGTGAAAGCTACATTAGCAAAGCTGCTATTGTAGCCTGAGACATACTCTTTCATGAAAGACAGACTCTCTTAAGTACCTTATATTACCCTGAATCATTAAGAAAAAGGTTTAGGATTTCTTCTGACATAACAGTCATTTTTGGAGTGATATTTTTGAGAAATCTCATGGAGGGATGCATGTGAAAAAATATATGTTAATTTCTTATCCACGTAACTTTCCAAAGAATGGATAGGAAGATACAAACTGCAGATAAAGTATTTATCTTGCAAGCAACCTTGGCATGAGGGTAACTAATTACTACATCCAACAGTCTGAAACAACTCATTCTAAAAGCAAAATCAGGCGATGTATGTCAACAGAAATGGAGCCTTTAGAGCAGGGAGAGGTCTAAAAGCCTAAGGAAGGTGGTTTGTTTTGCTTTGTTCTTTTAAAACAACCCAGATCATAAGTGAGCATTGTCAGTAGTTATAGAACAATGAATCAGTTGTGGGGGGAGAACAACAGAAAACTGGGTGGGATTGGGAAGAAAAGGCCTAATTTCATGCAGTGATCAACTATGGGTTAATTAATTTGGGGCTGTGTGGTAGCAAGCATGTGTCCTGCTGCTTGCTTGCCACCCTTACTCTGGGGTTGCTTTCCCTTTCCAGTAGTCTGTCATGGTGTGCAAAGCTAAACATTTATATTGCTGGGGCAAAACAACCCAGAGTTAGTTGTCAGGTTAAAACTCTGTGTTTGTTTCTTCCTCAACAAGAAGGAATAGCTGGAGAGCCATTGTGGTGTAGTGGTTAAGAACATGGGACTGGGACTCAGACGATCTGGGTTCTAGTCCCTGCTCAGCCATGGAGCCCACTGAGTGACTTTGGGCCAGTCACAGACTCTCAGCCCAACCTACCTCACAGGGTTGTTGTGGGGATAAGATGGAGGAGATGTAAGCTGCCTTGAGTGCTTTGTAGGAAAAAGGCAGGATATAAATCAATCAATCAATCAATCAAATAAACAAACCAGAGTGCTAAGTTAATACATTACGACATACTGTGTGGGTTACATAGCAAAACAGATACAAAGTGGAAGGAGGAGGCAAACATATTGGAGGCAATATGTTTACTTATTTCGTTGCAGACCCAATGAAATATGGATTGTTTAAATCATAGTCAGTAGTTATGTGCAGACTGGGTCAAAGAAAAGAATGACTGGTTTGCTTGCTGGGTGGCTGGTACCCCCATTTTCAGTGGGGCAGTGTATCTACTCTGGGTTTCAGTCTGAGCTTTTAAAGAGCTATCCATAGTGCTGAACTCTATCCCCAAGCAGTATAAATAGCTCCTTCAAAAACTGGACTGCAATCTGGCATGGCTACATGAACCTATTGACACTGGAACTGCCAGTCACTGCTGCTTAAAGGTACGAGTACCTACAGAGACTTACTAAGCTGTGTTATGATCTTAAGATGGAATTTTTCTATACCTTGCTCATAAATATTTACATCCCACTTTTCTTCTTACAGTGAATTCAAAGTGGCTTACATAATTTCCCTCCTCCTCCATCTTACCCCCACAACTACCACCCTGTGAGGTAGGTTGGGCTGAGAGTCTGTGACTGGCCCAAAGTCACCCATTTGGCTCCATGGCTGAGTGGGGACTAGAACCCAGATCGCCTGAGTCCCAGTCCCATGCTCTTAACCACTACACCACACTGGATCTCTCATGAAAGTATCATGCAAGTAACCTACAATTATGATGCACAAATCTTTGAATAAGCTTTGTGGATCAAGTTATTTTTATGTTTGAGTGTTTCATTATACATCAGATGCAATAACCAGATGGAAAGCATACTGTCATCTAGCATAATAAAATCAGTGTATTCTGAATACATAGGTATAAAATAAACACAAGGCATTACAATCACATTGCCAATTTAACATAGGATTTTGCTATTTTCTAAAACTGACATAATCTGCCAAGTTGTTCGTGCAACAAGGAAGCAGCTAGTGCAGTAGCTGGTTGTAGTAGCAAACCATAGTTTTTCCTCATAAGAACAAGCTACAGCAAGTCTCAGGCTTGCGCACTCCCTCACCCATGCCTTTAGTTCAGTCTCAGGCAAAACACTGGAAGCTTTGGGTTCCATTTTTGATGAATTGCAGCATGTGCAGTTAAAAGCAGACACATGGTGTTTAATCTTACTGATGGTTTGTAAGAAGAAACTGCATGGTTTATTAAGCAGACTTATTTCAACTAACCATAGTTAAGAATCAGTTTACAGTTCAGATGACATGCTAAACTACATGCTAATCAAACACAGAGACTTCCAATTTCCTCCTAGCAGTTGCACTGGAGTAAAGAAAGGGGGAGAATGGCTCATTTTGCGAAACAGGTTAATTTTTACAGTTGAATACAATCAGAAACTTTCATAAAATATTACTAACCATGAGTATGAGCCTGTTGATATTAAAATGAAAAGGGAGCTCTGAACATCAACACCAGAGGTCACCAACACAGCACCTAACAGGAGCCCACTGAGACCCCTTTGCCTTTCCCCCTTATGTGGCCCCAAGCACATGTTGTCCAGGCCTTAAATGTGATTCCCCGCTCTCCTCTTCCCACCTATTTCACCTCTGCATTGCCATAGGCCTAAGAAAGAAGCAGAAAGTCAATAGGTCGGGTCTCAATCCGCCAGCTTCCCACTTCCTCCTGTGCAAGAAAATTAGCTTAAAGGTTAGCCAAAGCTATGCAGCCTATGAAGCAAAGTATAACCAAGGCCAAAGATCTCCCAATGAACTTGAAAGATTAAATTTCTGGAAAAAACTTTTTTGCCATTACAGTTAGTATTTTGAAATACTCAGACATAAGATACTGTAAAAGTCTGTTTGTGATACTGTCTGTAGTATCAAATTCCTTCTTTCCTGTTTTGTGTTCCAAGAACAGACTAGATGTAACTAATGCAACCTTTAAAAAGTTGTGCTTTTAACAGAAGGGGAGTTGCTCCCTGCTAGCTATGCTGGCACTCTGTGATGCTGATGAGCTGGTCAATGACTCCTCCCTATAATATTGTGACATTAATAAAGGTCTGTTTGGATTGTAACTTTCTCTTACTTAGACTGGGGTTTCTTTAAATTTAAGGGTTTTCCTTCCATACACCTTAGGTCTGCAATGGTGCAGAGGAACGAGTGAAGAAATTGCCGTTCAGAACTAAGCGTGTGTGTGTGTGGGGGGGGGATGTGAGGAAGATGTATGCAGGAACATGAAAAGAGATAAACGTCAAGCTGAGGGTGGGTAAAAAAGGAGCATTTCTAAGTGTGTGTGTGTGGGGGGGGGGAGAGATAGAGACACTCTAGGTAAGGGAGGGCTGGAAGAGAGTGAATCCTGGCAGAGTAGGGAGAAATAAAGAAAATCCAGGTTAGGGGGGCAAGGAGAGGAAGAATCCCTCATTCACAAATTACCAATTTCCCTATGGGACTGAAAGAATTGTAAAAGTGGTCTTGGGATTTAAAACCTTGCCTACCCCAATCCACATATGATGCAGTACTGGTTCTCCTATTTCTCAACTGAAAAGCACAATTCAAATGTGTTTGTAACAAACTATATTTCACTGTGAAGAAACTAGAGCCCTTCCAGAACTCATTCACGGATTCCTCACCATCCGTTCCTTATTTCCACTAGTGTTTGGAGTAATTTACACATGGCTGCAAAGAAAAAAAAAAGGAGGGGGGGTTGGCTTTGCCATTTCTTGTAGTGGTTTTAAGAGAAAATTTTAATGAGGAAGGGATATCATTGGCTGTGGTCCCCTCCTGCTTTGGTAATTGTGCATTTATTACTCAGGTATGTTAGAAGTAAAAGGATTCACATGTGGAGAACCAAACAAATTTTGGTTTAATACTTTTAATAAGTTGGTTCCATGCAGGCATGCACAAAACTTTTTCCAGAGCTCTCTTCCCAAAGCGTTCTCCATCTACCCGATCTCATACAAAACCAGAGCAGATGCAGCTGAAGCTATTGGCTTCACCATGCTCTGAAAGGAAAATGCTGCATTTAGAGGTCTGGAAAACCATCCACACTGAGAATGTGTTATTTCCACTCAATGCCTGAATTTGTGAAGCACCCGTGCCTGCATCTGGATTTACCTGGCTGTTTTATTGTGCTATTACTATTGGCAAGACCCTGAGGCATGGTGCTATCCACTCAATTGTGCCAGTTCTTTTTCTACTGGTATTTAATTATTAGATGCATATCCCACCTTTTTTTTAATTGTAAATAATTTAAAGTAGTTTACATAATTTTCCTCCTCCTGCTCTCAATCTTAATCCCACAACAACAACCTTGTGAGGCTGGTTGGGCTGAGAGTCTGTGACTGGCCCAGCTGGCTCCATGACCGAGCAAGGACTAGGACCCAGATTGCTTGAATCCCAGTCCTGTTCTCTTGACCACTATACCACACCGGCTCTGATTTGGAAGAGGAATTTACTTAGGAAGCAAACTTTTAAGTTAAAGACAGAGTTTCCAATATGAACTTTCATCTGCTTTTTCTTCAGCTTATCGATTCCTGAAATTATCATTCACACAGATGCTAGAGCAGGGGTCCCAACTTGTTGCCCCCAAGCTCTTTCTGTGTGGCCCTCCAACCTTCTTGTTTACTACTGCTATCACCCTCAAGGCATTCCCCCCCCCCACCCACACTGTTCTTCCTGCCTCAAGGGGCACCATCTACCATTACCACCAATTCTTCCATTACATAACAGAACAGGGAATATACTGAAGTTTGTTTAAACAGGTATCATTTGACTTGCTGAAACAAAGTGGTGGTGCCAGGTGGAAGCTGTGTTGCTGAAACATGTTTAGACAAATTATGTCCTGTAGCTGGAGAAGCCCTTGAATATCACAGGCTCATTTTCTTTTAAAGAAAAACTTAAAAGGGATTCTGTAAAGCAAAGACAGGCAACCTGCATCCTTTCAGATGGCGTAAGATTCCAACTACCATGAGCTCCAGTTGACATGGCCAATGATCACAGATGACGGGCGTTGCAATCCAATAACATTTAGCGTGCCATAGGCTGCCTACTGCTGCTGCTGCTGACAGGAGTCAGCTGCAGGTTCATATTTTTCTCAACTCACAATATGGATCAAATGGCAAGCTCAACAGGGTGGGCAAATTCTGGCCCTTCAAATCTTTTAGCCTATCATTTCCATCATCCCCAGCCAGCATAGCCTATGGTAACAGATGAGGGAAGTTGATGACTGACAAGGGAGCAACAACATCTTATCTCAAGTTGCCTGTCCATGAACTAGGCTGAACTAAGCACTCTGCTCCAACCACCCTTGTTCAAATGTAGCTTGAATAATAAGCATAATAATCAACAGAGCTTGTTAAATATGACATTCTAAATGACATGAAGAATGTAAAACAAAAAAGAGGAATAGAATTAATTTGCTGATTTGTATATTGCCTATACTGAGAAACAGGAGAAGATTTGAGAGATCATAACTCATTTTAAACACTGAAAGAATAAAGAAGCCACTACCTGTAAGGAAAATGATATAAATGTTAGAATAATCTGCCAAAGAGCATTTATGTTATGATTAAACATGCTGATGCATGCCTTGCCTTTTTCTAAGAGCTGGACAATGCATAAACTCTGCAAGGTAAATCCAAAGCAAGCTATCACATTGTTCCATTTGTATAAAATTCAAAGGTTCAGTAAAATAATTTCTTAATTTTATTAATTATTCATGTATCTGGTACAAAAGAGCTAGCATGTAATTACCAAGGAGATGTGCCCATTAGGAGGCAAGACAACAAAGATCCAATTGTATGCAATGCAGGAAATAGGTGTGGCCCTATTTCCTCTTACAAAGGGAGGCTGAGGGGTACAGCAATATTGAACATTTTATGCCATTGTGGCTGTCACACCTATATTTGCATTTATATAAATTATAACATTCCCTTGATGTCATGAGACCATAACGGGGACAAAATGATCGCTAAACCATTGCATGTATCAAATGAATTACACCAGCTAACAAATTTTAACAATTCTCAATCAGGCTCAAGGTGCAATGAATTCCCATCAAAATTAGGTCTCTTTTTCCAGAGGTCCTCTAAGAATTGGCTGTACAGCAGCAGTAACCTATATTACAGAAATAGTTGATTGGTCAGCAATCACAAAAGATGATTCGAAACTGATTTCCCCTCCTCCATCTCCCACTTAAATGGATTTTGTCTCTACCCTCAGGGAGGTTCACATTGCGTGTAACCAATTAATTGATTCAATCATTTGTCTTGATGATGAACAACTGGGCTGAAGAAGGCACACCACTATGTCTCCCCACCAAGGCAGAGGCAATCCAGTTCTCACAAGCCTTTTGGCTTATTTTGCAGCTCACTGACCTCGGCAATTCAGCTAAACATTCTGACCCTTCCTCCTCTTCCAGTTCAAATTCAGACTCTGAAACCTCTACCAGAAAATGCTGTAATTTGGGAGAAGTGGCCCCAGTCCATACAATACACAAACAAACACAAGTACACACAAATGTGGGCATGCCTAATAATGTTATACTGCTGAATTCCAAAAGAAAAGGGTATATGCAAAACAAATTATAAGGAAGGAGCACCATCTTTACCCAATTATGCCATGTAAATTGCTTGCATTTTCTAAACAGCAAACCTACAACCTCTTCCAATGCTTCCAAATCTTGTGGGTAAAATAATGCTACCACTGGAGGCACTGGGTAGGTTTTCATAATATGCTGAACCACCCTGAGAATAAGCTATGCAGTGTGGGTTGTTTGCAGAACAACCCACAGTGTGCCCAATAGGTGATCAGGCTCACCATGGCTTATTCTTTCCCACCTTCCCCCTTGGCCCTCCAGCTAACACTTCAGAGTCCTTTGAAGATGAAGTCACCTTTTCTCCCCCTTCCCACTCTAATTACAACCCCTTTTCTTTAGCTGTTATCATTTTTATAGAGCATCAAAAATGCTTGAGTGGGCTCATATTTCTTTTTCAGCTCCAGAAAATTATGAGTTTGCGTTTGTAATTGCTTTCATTCAATCTTTTGCAAGTGCATCCTTATGGCAGTATATTATGTGTAGAATTGCATGGGACCAAAATCAAAAACAAAACAAAAATACTGGATTTTCAGCATGGCTTGTTGATGAAAAAAAAGCCACCCTGCAGAAACAATCTTCATTTGGATGACACAACAACTGACTATGGCAAGTTACCATGAAGAGTTGTCATGCTGAGACTGTAAAGAGCGTTAAAGCTTCTTAGGGCACACAGATACCTGGTTCTTCTGTTCTTACAGTCCTTGCTCTAATAAGCTGTCTCTTGAGAAAACCCATGTGGAGAACACGTCAAAATTCCTGTCCAAATTTCTCTACCTGGTTGTTAAAAATTCATCAGGGTATTGCTCTGCTCCTTACATGACTGTCCAAATATGTATGGCAATTATTAGCATTGACGTTAGACAGATGCTTTAAAAGGGTGGAAATTTAAAAAGCATTTAGTGCTCCTAAGTTAAAGGAATTTTGGTTAAGTTACAGCCAGTTTGCATGTGACAACCCACAAGCAAGCATATTTACCCTTGCTGCTTTTAATTTTTTTAAAGGAAGCCATGAGGCTTACACCAGTTGTCTGCTGGAAATCACTGGGCTGCTATTTGACCCTGAAGGTGCTGGGGGCAAGTAGGAGACAGTTATGGGAGTGAATGCCTGATTGGTACACAATGGTTGCTTTTTCTCCAAAATAAAGACAGCCACTTTAAACACGCTTTTTTAACCAAACAATTAATGCAACGTGTAGTTTGGTCCTTAATGTTTCATGAAGTTAGAAAAAAATACAAAGTACTTCCTAGGGAAAAAGAGAAGAATTAGGATGGAGTTTAAAATTAATCAATCAATTGTACTTGATTGTCTTAAATGTTAGGTTTATTTATCTAAGGAATTCACTTTTGCTTATATTCCAGTATAAACAGTAACTGTTCAGTTTTGGTATGGCTTACCAATCTGTTGTGGTTTTGATGCTCTTTTTGGATATGTTTTGCTACGACTTCTTTCAACTGTTTGGTCAGGTCGAGGAAGCTGGACAGAAAGATCTCTGTTCATTTGAAAAGCTGTCCTCCCACTAGAGAATGCAATGAAATGTAATGAGTAAATGAAAAACTGTGAAGGAAAACTAAAATATATAAATAAATATCCATGTTTTAGAAGAATACAAACAATTATTTTAGCTTAATTCAAAGCTCAGCTTATCCCTGAGCATTACAAAGATTTCAGCAAGCTTTTTTATAGTTAGACAATAAAAGGAAAAATATGGTTTATAGTCCCCATAATATAATCACTTCCTATACCCTCTCACGCATTTCCCAGTTTAACAAAAGTATTTGTCTGTATCAAATCAAACTCCTCCACACTTTCCAGCTTGTATTGTACATCTGCAGTAGCAATATTCCATTTTGTAGTTCTTTTAAAAAATAACTCTCAGTACTGTATATTCCTTGCTAGACCATTTAAGTCTGGTGTTTCATGTAGAATTTTTAAAATTTTAAAAGACTTTTAAAATGATACAGGAATGGAAGAGTCTTGGAAGACTCACCACTTATCAGTGGTGACAAGGGCATTATCCAATAGCAACTGCAATGTTCATGCAATCACAGCATCCTATTTCACAGTAGCCTGGTAGCTAGGGAAATAACTGCAAATTCCCAGTGACAATGTATTCAAGCACTAGGAAAATTCAATATCCACAGAAAATAGTACTCTGGCAACCCAGATGCCTTGAGCCAGCACACCTCTGTGCGTGTGCTGCTCAATAAACCAGTCCCCTCAAAAGAGCTTATGTAAAATGTTTTGCTCTCAAATGTGTCCATATCAAGTATTGCTAAGAATAGAAAGTGGAAGAGATATCTATTTTAACATGTTGTAATTAATATAGCTTTTAATTACCACCAAAATAGTAATACAAAATCCAACATAATGGACACATACTACCAGAACAGTTTCACAAGCTGATTTAGATGCCTTAACGTAAGAAAACATGGATTCAGCATAAACTAGAATTTCAGGAATTAAACATCAGGCAGTATGTTTTGTGAATACTATTAAACAAAGCATTTTAAAACTAGAGCCATTTCACAATCTTTTTCCTGTTGTTACTCAATAAGATCTGATAACACTATTGCAGTTTTAACAAAAACAAAACTTGTAGGTTTGCCAAGCTTTGTTCTTGAACAACTATTCATGATGTAAAATACAACTCTTTTCTAGCAATAATTCCCAGTTGCCAAAACATCTGCAACTGAATGACTGAAAAACATCCAGGTGGATTTGTCTAATGACTGAAGAGTAATTATATTGTATGTAAAATAACAAACAAACTATAATTACTAAGAGACCCATATGAACAGTCTCTGCAGGGACAGGTTCTGTTTTACCAACAAATTGCCAATGAGGAGCCAAGAAACTAAGTTTAGTTTTTGCTATGCTTCTGAACATTTCCTTAGGCACATGTGTGCTTCAACAAGTCTATGTGCGTACCTTCAGTTAGTTGTGGAAGCAAGAACCTAACAAAGATTTAGTTTCATACATACCATGTTTTATGTTGATATGCTAGTTATCTAGAAAACATGAACTAGACTTGCCACCTCTCACCCCATTAAAACTTTCTTAGCAACCCAAGGACTTGTTTCTAAGCAAGAAACAGAAATATTTTAAGGTATGATCCTATGCAAGTTTCAACAGAAAAAAACTCCTACAACTCCCACTCTGCCAAAGCCAGAATGGCAGGAATTTTTTAGGGCTTTTTTCAATCTAAACATGCATAGGACTGTGCCTTAAAGTTTCATTTTATGATTTTTTCTAACAGCTATAAAAAGAAACATTTCATTTAATCAGATAAATTATGTACTGCAAATAGACAAAAGATGATTCCCTGGTCAATTCTGCATAGTGAATGAACTTGCTAAGTGAACTCCTTCTCTTTCTCCCATATAAATGAATACCTTACATTTATTCAATGAGAAAATGAAAGCCCTATGCTGGGAAACACATATAATTAGTACAAGACCTGTCCTACACTTCTGATGTTGGGTGGCTTGGTCTTAACTGACTGCAGTCCTGCAATGGACTATAGTGTGTCTTTTTGATGCACAGCTCTGCCCCAGGTGGAAGAGAGCAATAAGTAAGTCCTACTTAGCAATGCTCCACTTCTTGGGCAAAATTCTGGTGTTCTGTGTCCATGCTGATCCCCTTTTATCAATGGTTAGTCCTTGGAACTTTCCTCCTCAACATGATTCTTGCCACTCAGATAATCCATAGTCTTTCAATCTAGGCTGCCCCATAGTAGGTATCCCTAACTTTAGGCCCCTTTTCTTAGAAAATCTGTGGGTTGCACTAATGCTGCAGATGAGGGCTAAGGTACTGTTAGCAATATGGAGGATATGTTAAGGGAGACTGGCCACTACAACTTTTTTTTAATTAATTAATTTATTTAAAACATTTCTATGCTGCCCGCATTGCAACAAAGCCTCGGGGCGGCTCACAGCATAATTAAAACATACAAATAACAATTAATACAATTAAAGATTAAAAAGCCCGGTAACATCTCAGCTTAAAAATTTAAAATCCTATAAATACATAAGTTAACAATTAAAATAAGTTTTAAATAAAAAGGTCTTAGTCTGGTGTCGAAAAACTAATAACGACAGTGCCAGGCGGACCTCTCTGGGGAGCGCATTCCATAGGTGGGGCGCCACCACAGAGAACTTGTATCTCATTAGCCCAGTGCTTGCTGGCATTGATTTTAGCATGTTTCTTTCTGGGAGCTTCAAAAATTTCAGCTTTAAGTAAGCACTACTAGTCTATACCTCAAACTCTGCATCGGGTGATAATCGCAATCGCACCCATCTCTGCCCCCCAGCACGCCCATGATTGCCCGTCTATGGCCACGATCATGGTCGCACTCGTGCAGGGATGACGGGTGTGATCTCGGTTGTGCTGGGGGGGTGGGGAGATGGCCGTGCTCATGCTCGGGGTAGGTAGGGGGAGATGGCCGCAATCTTTGTTGTTCTTTGTCACTTTGCATCAAATTTCTGTGGTTAAAAAAAAATATTTATGGAAGGGGTTAACCTTATTTACATTGAACCTTCTGGGGAAATTAGACTTGGCTCACAACCAGAGTCCTGGAACAGATTAAGTTTGTGAGCCGAGGTACCACCATATGTAGATAAAAACCTTAAGGCATTTAGACACAGCACTTTTCTATAAGAGGCTGTTATCCCCTGTATCTGCTTTTGGTTTCATTAGAGAACTGAGATACAAGCTCTACACAAAGACCTTTCCCTTTCCTGCAGTAGTTCAAATGCACAAGAGGAAAAAGAACCATTTTCCCCTTCCAAAAAATCTCAGGAAAATCTCTGAAAAAACATTGGGAAGTCAAGATGTTGTCTGAAGGGCCAATAAACAAATGTAAGGAATCACAAGTGGAACATCACATAAATGTTTCATGTGGAAAAGCTTACAATCACTCTAAACCACATTCCAGCTTCCATTTTGCATATGTAATTTCACTATGGGAAGGGAAGAAGAGATGAGTTAAGGAAATTCTTTGTTTAAGTATGCCTATACTATATGACCCAGAAAAAATGAAGAACACAATGTTACAATCATAGAACCTTAAGTTACAGATTCTATGATCATACAAGCAAACATATAAATATATCTTGAAATAAAGGTATGAAGTCATGATAATAAGATTGAAGATTGTCTTACCTAAACCGATGCTTATAGCCAAGAGATCCAAGTTTGCCAAGTTTTCTTGATAGAGAATTAGACTCATTTTCTGGCATTCTTTTTCAATTAAAAATAAAATGATTCCATAGTTACACATGATACTTTTGCCCCTATGAAGCTACGCACAGAATAGTAAGGAATTTAGATTTTTTCCAGATTATCACTACTTTCCGTACTTAGTCCAAATCTCTTTTGCAAGCCATTTTGTAATACTAAAGGTTCAGTGGACATAAACAGAATAATGCAATTTAAAGGAGAAAAGCTGCTGGGCCTGTTTATATGCCAGGGCAGTCAAACAAGCCTTAATTTGTCAGCAGGGTCTGTTGTGTCAAGCTGGGCATCCCTGGGTACCATTTTTGCATGGTGCCTACAGGAGCTCAGTTTGCCATGGCATGCTGTGAGAAATCCAGTGGCTAGATATCCATTTTCCTCTTACCCCAGTATAGGGGAAAAACAGGCATGCTTCCATTTATCAAAACTAACTTATTAATTAGCCATTCATTGCAAGTGAATGCAAGCACAACTAACTCTGTCTAGGCCTGGGCACGACAAGATTCTGATTCAAATTATTTCATAGGGTATTTTCTGGAATGCTAAACACCTTGCATAAAGCAGTTTAATGATAAGTTACATGGTGATGCAACATAAATGTTAATATAAAGTATGAGATCTGATGGTTGAAAGCTTGCAAAGCAGTACCTCTACATATATGAGGCAGAATTCAGCCAAAGAAGTTCAGAGTTTCGTGAACTGATTTGCAGGAGTCCCAAATTATAGTCATCCTGATTTTTTAAAAACATTTACCTGAACCGTGTCCATACAAACTGCAATTCCATAAATATTATGTATAGGTTCTATTGAAATCAAGCCCCATATGTGTGACACACGAGATGATGAAGAACTATGGAAATCAACAGGACAAGTAACTATGATCAGGATTCTATGTCTAGATGCTGCCCACTAAAACTGTCTCAAGAATGTTGACACGTAGAGCTTCAGAACCATATTCCTAAAATGTCAATTAGGTCTGAAGAAGTGAAGCTTTAGTTCACAATTAATAATCCCTACAACAGCAGGGACAGCAAAATAAAGAACAATGTTAGATGTCTGAACAAAAATTCCCATAATCCCTAACCAGTCCTCATGCTTGTTGGAGCCAATGGGAGTTGTAGTCCAAACATTAGGAGAGCACCAGGTTGCTCACTTCTGGTATGTTCCACTGCATTAACCCATTTTGTTTGTTTTATAAAAACAGATACTGCACTTTTATCTGAACTTTCCTTCCATATGCGGACAGTTCACATTCACAAAACGGGTTTTCCACCTCCCCTTTTCTTCTGCTGCTTGGAAAATCTGCTCCTGGGGGACCCTTGCAGTGATTTGGGATATTGCCCAGAATGCTGTAAACACACAGGGAGGAGCACTGGTAGAAACTGCTACCTTACAGGGAAGACTGGTGATCACTTTGTGCAAACTCCACCCCCAGAATAGGTTCACCACCACAGAGCATGATGGCTGTCTCCCATAAAGCTCAAAATAAAATCTGCAATGGATGAGGAGTCCCACTGACATATTCTCCTCTGTCCCTCCATTATGTGAATGGAGAAGCACCTTTGAATCCAAGCCAGGGTCATTACACTGAGACTTCAGTAAAAGGCAGAATAGAAATGCTTTAAATAAATAAATAAAATTTATTTTACACTTATTTATTCGATTTATATCTTGTCTTTTTCCTACAAAGGGCTCAAAGCAGCTTACATCATTCTCCTCCTCCATCTTATCCCAACAACTACCACCCTGTGAGGTAGGTTGGGCTGAGAGTCTGTGACTGGCCCAAAGTCACCCAGTTGGCTCCATGGCTGAGCGGGGACTAGAACCCGGATCATCTAAGTCCCAGTCCCATATGCTTAACCACTCTTAACCACTACACCACACTGGCTCACTTAATAAGAAATGCCACACTGAAATGCAACCAAGTCCATTTCCAAACCATCCAAAGTCCAAACCGTTTGGAAATTTAATTTCTGTGCACCCCTGGTGCAGAGTCTGCATGAATTCTGAGCTATCTTTCTATTCTTTTCCTGTCATTTGTTCAAACTATGATTTACCACTCACCTTTTATGATTATCATATTTGAGTACTTATGTTCTTTTAGTGAAAACAGTGGTGTCTTCTGCTCATACAAGGTCTATTTATATCTTGGGTTAGATTCAAGAAAAGAAAGTTCAAGAAAAGAAAGTGTAGGAACTGCTATAGGACCCACCCAGTTACAGTGCTGAGTGAACTCTTCCACGTGCATGTTTAAAATAAAACCAGTGGTTACACTCCTCTCAATGTTTTCGTATCCAAAACAGCTGGCAGTTCTCTCTTAAATATAGTCATGTCAACTGAAGAGAACTGAATATGCTTGGCTTTAAGTACAGATAAATATTAAACTTATGCTCGAAAGTTCATCACCCCAACCCACTAAGCTGTGTCTGTCTTCTGCAATCATTCAAGAATAAATCTCTTACAGTTGTAGCTTGCCTACCTGAAGAATGTATGTTGTTCTACACAGCATTTCCATAGATGCTTGCATGCAGTTTTGCTTTGTGCTTCAAAAAAGAATGATGTTTCATTACACTGAAATGAAAAAAAAATAGTGAAGTATTCTGACATGAAAGAATTTGCATTGAATAGTCCAAGCACAAGAATGCAAATTTGTATTTTACTTCTACCCATGTCTATCAGGAGAACTACAACGTATGACAATTGCACTTGTCTGCTAAAAACCACACATGCAAATAAATATATAGCAAATATACAGGAAATCATTTTAACCAGCAAATCAACATATCTTCCAAAGGCCACTTTGTGTGTTTTATTTTCTAACACTAATCTATACTGGAAAAAAATGTGTTGTCCTTGTGGTGGTGCATTTCTTTTTCATTGAGTTCATGCACTAGAAAGCAGATATATACAAGCATCAAATTCCCACAACAAACATGTCATTTTTTGACATAAACATTGACCTTCTTGTCATAAAAAGTACATGTGAAATAGTTCTATATTTTCTGCATAGTCACCACATTCAAGATTAAAGCTTAACAAAACAAACATCAGTCAACTCACTGAAGAATTGAGAAATATTTACATAAGAAGAAACCCTCACATGGACCTTTTTATAAAGAATACTAGTGAGGTGTGGTGCATATGCAGCAAACAACAGTGACACTGAAGAATTACTGTAATTCTTTCAAGAAATCAAATCCATCAGCAAAATGAATTATAGAATTCCGAGAGAGAAAGCAAATATAAAAAACATACTAGCCTTCTAGTGGCATTTCATGGACAATTTAATTGACTTCAGAGCTTTAAAAGAACCTTAAAAGCTAGCTGAAGTTATTCATTATACAGAATAGATTTTACAAACCAATGAGTTAAAAACAGAGTATAATTTATACGATGACTAATTTCCCAAAATTCCAAAGTCAAAGAAAAAAGATCACATTGTTTACATTGGGGCAGTGCTGCACTGTAACATAAAGGAGCCTAGACCGGCAGAGGCATTTAGTTTTCGGCACACATAGGACTGTAGGCCTTGGCCTATCTTGCTCTCCTTCCCTGTCCTAACAGAAGCTCACAATACTACATGATGGATTGCTTGTGAAACACAGGAAATTTCAAAAGCAGCCAGCAGTGTGGATGTGCAGCAGAGAATGTCCGAAGAGAATTGTTAAAATGTACATTGAGCACACACAACCCTTTGGGCACACCTAAAATAGTTTCTTTGCTAACAGCCAACATATCTGATACTTGAAACTATATTTAAGGTTTTTGAAGTCTTATGTTTTGTTTTAAACTATAAAATAAATTAATAAATGCAGGCTTGCTTAATAAGCACTTTACACTATAAGCCAGAATCCAGAGAAGTCTGACTCTTGATCTGTCTACCCCAAGGAGACTTTCAAGTTTACATTTCTCAAAAGCAATTTTCCAGACCACTATGGGCTTTACAAACTCAAGATTATTTTCCAAAAGAGGTTTGTGATATTGTACAAGGGCATGCTAGTTAAAAAAGATAAAGCAAATCTCATTGGACATATGAAAGATGTTGGGTGCACCTTTGGATCCTAGCCATAGTACTCAAAGACTTTTGAAATGACAGTGTACAAACTCTGCCAAAGTAATAACATTCATAGAGAGAATAAAAGCCTTAGTTTCCACTGCTTTCTTTTGACACTCTATTTGACCTTATCCTCCTTTAAACAAAAGGATGACGGTCAGAGTCTACTATGAGAAAAACTTAACACAAATCTCAAAACTAGCCCATGGAATATTTGAGTCTGAAACTATCAGCAGAGCAGCCAGTTTGGTCCTCAGTGAAAAAACAAACCCTCCACCAAATGCAAGAAAACAACTCTTATGGACAAAAAAATCAATTTATCATTGAATGAGAAGTCAGCTATGTATTGATTTCAAGAAGGTAGTTGAGAAGCATGAGTTCTCAATTCTCCCAAAATTTCTCTTCATTCTTGATGGAAACATCATCTTCATCATTCATTACATTTCTATACCACCCATGGCTGAGGCTGTTTGGGCAGTTCACAACATTAAGTCATCCATTGAGATTTGAACCAGGCCCAACCCTCCTTCACTTCCAAGATTTGGCAGGAACAGGCACTTCAGGCTATACAGAAGCTATGTTCTCTGACTTGTTCACTTTTTCCTTACATGTAACAAGTCAAAAGTCAGTCACATCTTAGACCAATTGCACACACATACATAGCTCTTTTCCTCTCCACTCACACAACCAATCAATTGAACACTTTGCCCAGGGAATCCTGTGAATGCTTCTGTATTAGTACAAACAAATTCTCAGTTCTGATAGTTCCATACTTAAAGACAGCCTAGAATTAATTTCGGATAGATAGAGTAGGATTTTCACCCATTCTGTATAGGCTTCTAAATGCCATGGAATGTTACTGTACACAACAAGCATGTTTACACACACATGCACACACATGTGAAATACAGATCTCTTGCTGTGGTGCATGATATCTGCACAAATAACAATCACATATCACCATGCACTTCCAAAGCCCCTGCCATGACCCCCAAATACAAGCAGCAACCAGAACACAGAGGGAGAGGTACTCCACTGCAAGGTGTGGAGGCAGCAGACCTGGCCTTTGATAGCAAGTATAGTTTAACAGAAGCAAATCCCAAGCCAGGCATTCCCAAGGCACAACTCCCAACAATAGTTATCCCTAAACCAGTTTCCCAAGAGGACAGCATCCTCACTTCTTCAAGCCTTGCACTTAGAGGGCTGCCCTTTAAAAACCATACTCTCTTTTGAAAGGGTACAAGAAAATGCTCAGTTAGGACTAGAAACTACAACTACTTTGCTTCCTGTGATCTGTCCAAGGTGCTGAAGACCCCATCTTTGACTACCCTTCTTCTCCAGCCCACAGCTTCTGACTGTAGACAGGGCACGCAGTCTCAGCTAAATAAATACTGCCTGCCAGACTTGCTTCATCTCAACCTTTCTGTGGATTTCACCTGGACTGGACCAAGACCGAACAGTTTGGACTATGCTACCAGTGATTATTCTGCTAGATCTTCTGTTTGAAATAACAATAATCAGTGTAAGAGACAGACAATGCATTACACTTTGATTTATTTTGAAAGCTGCATTCTCGCATGGGTCACCCATCAGAGGCCACATGTTGCCAGTAAATAGGCCTGAATCCTGCAGTACACTACTGCTTTTTTCTTTCAGGGAAGGCTCACCCCTTTTCTCTTTCTGCCACTCGCTTTTCTTTCTGCTGATAGTTTTCTCTCTCCTTTTTTCTAGATCAAGGGCCATATACCCCAGAAAAAGGGGTCTGAAGCCATACGGCAGCCAACCTTTAAGAGAGAAAAAATCTGCCAAAATTGAACCTTCCTTAAACAATTTGTTTACTGCAAGGCATGAGCAAGAGAGCCATTAGACAAAACAGGAATTCTTCTTTGTTCTTGCATAACTCATTCCTAGTGGTATTTTCTGTTCACAACCTTATAGAAGCATTTGAACTACAAAATATTCAAACATACTTGAAAAGCCAAAGCTTAATCTCTCAGATAAACAAGATTTAATTCTATTCAGCAAAGGCCAATAAGGAAGTTAGATGTTTCACTGAGTTTCATAGACCTGTCAAGATGGAGATAAATTTAAAATTCAGAGCCAAATTCCATGTTATTCTTGAGTAAGGATATTCACTAACTTGATTGAGAATATTCTATCAGGATTCTGGAGTGGAATTTAGCCCCCACTTAACCCCCTGCCCTTTGCTTTTAAACAAAGTAGGGAACAGTCAAATGCAGGAATGAATTGAGGAGAACTGGTATGTGAATTGAGGGAGTACACCACTCCCCACTCCCAATGTCTAACCATGGTTCATTAGTTCATTGTATAAGCCTCTTAAAAGGTGGTTTGTCAAAATTACACCTAATAGATTGCATCTTTGTTCTTTGAAATACTTCTGCAAAGCATTCTTGTCAGGGCTTGATATTACCAAATGCTGTCAGGTATTTTAATATTATAAGCATAATAGTGAGGTCTCATTTTAAAAGCCTACAAATCAATCTCCAGCTGTTACACCAAAAGCAATGGTATTGCCTTTTTAAAGCTTCCAGATTTTCCATTTGTATTAAACATCTGAAATAATTTCAAGGCATTTACAGACAAGTTTATTATAAGCGTAAATTATACGCAACTTGCAGCACTTTCGTGCAATCTAATTTACTTGATGATTACAGATGATGAAGATAAAGTGTCACTGTGTTACAAGAACTTTACAACCTTTACCTGAGATGTATCCTTACCGACAGAGATAAAACATAGTCTTTTTGCTGTTTTTAATGTTTTAATTTTTTTGCTACTAGATATGCTTACAAAACAATCCAGTGCAAGTTTACTAAGACATAAGTTCCACTGTGTTTAATTGGGATTACTTCCTTATAAAATATGTTTAGGGTTGTTTGCTTAATAAACTCCATTTCTAGGCCAGAAAGAAAATGAACTTACATCTTTTCCCAGAACTCTGAGCTCAAACTGAGTTTCCTTGAAGTGGACCTTTGTAATTCTAGGCCTAAATATTCGAAAAAGAAAAATGTGCAATAAGAATTCAAAAATATCAAAGTGCAATGGATAAAAGTTTTCTCCCAAGGATGAGTTGTAAGCCATGGGGAATGAAGGGGGAGGTTGCCCAGTAAGGCAATCTAAAATATTTTAAGAAATAAATAATGTTATTAATGAACTACCATATATACCGGTGTATAATACGAGCCTTGAAACCAGAAATAGTGAGACAAAAATGGGAGTGGGAGTCATCTTATATGCCAGGTGAAAAATTTTATTCATTCAAATTCATTTTAAAAAACTTCTTACTGGTACTGGAGGAGCTTGTCTTGCATTGTATCGCAAGTCCTGCATACAGGTGCAGACTCAGTCCCATGTCCAGTGTCTACCTCGCACTTGCCTGTCCCTCCCACACCCATTTCAGGAAAACTTGTTCTTAACTCAGGGACTACCTGTATTGCTAGAGATGGCTCCTAATAAAGCTTTGAAGTAAATCAACAAAACAAGTTCCCTTCTCTCTTAGGTACCCATCAGAAGAATAACAGTCAATGTACTCTTTATGTGAGGGGAAAAAAGCAATCTAAGATATAACAGTATGAAACCATTCAGATCAAGTAAAAATATGAGCAGAAAAGTATATAGGAACCCTGCATTAGTACACAATGCAATATTTACTAAATCCCATTATGGTTACAGGGCCTGAAACAATATATATTACTTACCAAAAATACTTTCCTACTTGCTTTTTATTTTTGTAGACAACCACTCCTACAGGGGTTAATCCTACAAAATATTCAGACTTGTTTTCACCCTGGAAAATAATGATAAAATTGTATGTGTATTTACAGAGTGTTTACTGCCTTTCTTTAAAAAAATGGTAGAGCCACAGAGAAAAGACAGACAATGGCAAATATTTCCAAAGTTTGTGCTGTCATGGTGGTCAGAAGAAAACATATGCAACTTTATTTATTTTTAATGTCCTGTATATTTAAGGAATTTTCAGCCCTACTGTAGCTTTGAGCTACTGATTATTTCTTACTTCCTGTTACTTTGAACTTTATTAGGGCCATACTCACACTCTTGGTGTTACTTTCATATTTTCTGCCTGAACATATCCCCTGGTAATAAAACCCTTTAATCTTGTAACAACACTTAAAATAAATCCCTCAGATTTGTATTCTATAGTATTTTTCCCAGCACAGGTAATTGTCTTTTAAAATGAAATGCAACCACATTCCTTCACAGAAAGTATCCTTAATCCATCCTGCTTCTAAGGATGTATTCCTGTGGCTTTCAATTTCACGTTAAACAAACAGAATAACATTGGTTTATGAAAAATGTAGTTACTGCTTTTCACCATCAGTCCTCTCCAGTCAGTTCAGGGGGACTGTTGACATTTTCCAGGACCCAAAGAATTGCACAACCAGGTCTATCTGCTTAAGTGAGCTCAACCTCCTATGCTGTATATGTCAATTGCATTTGGGGCTGAAGAAAACTGCAAAAACTACTTCTGGTAGGGAACTAGACTTACAGAAAACAAATCAACAAACTCACTGGGTACAGACAATCTTGCTTGTGGGCCTAAAGAACCTCTTTGGATCAGAAAAGAAGGAACTATAAGGTTCAGCTTCAACTCTTGCTCTCCAAATCTTAGGCCTTCTGACTTGCCATACAGCTAAGAGTTCCATCTTAATCCATCCTTTATCCTAGTTTTTAAGCTCCTTCACTGCAACATATTTATTACCGCTATTTATATCATGCCTTTCAGAATAAAATCTTACCAAGCAATTTACAAGTAAAATAATTATTTGTTAATTAAAAATAATTAAAACAATATAAAAAAATAACACATAAAGGTATTTCCACAAGGCAGATGATGGTAGGAAGCCTTGGGGTGAAAAAGAGAGACAAACTAGCTGGAGCAGAAGCCTTAGATCAGGGGTCTCAAACTCAACTTACCTGGGGGCTGCTGGAAGTAGAGTCTGGGTGAGGCTGGGCTGCATCAAGTATTCCACCACCACGGTGGTGGTGGGCCGCTCAACTCGTGGCCGGCCCAGGCACCACCGGCGCTTTGAAGGCCGCAGGGCCCCACCCGTCCCGGCAGTTGGCCCGCGGGCTGCGAGTTTGAGACCCCTGCCTTGGATGATCTTTACTTGCCTGTTGACCTCTCTTTTTGGGGATCCTTCCCCGGGAGAGTTGGTGGTAATGACCTGTGCCGGACATAGTCTAGCAGGAGCAAGGAACCAATATGACTATAGTAAAAATTCTCCTTGGGAATTCCCTCAAAACAATTCCTAATAATATAAGAATAGGAAATGTCCATTTTCAGTATAATCAATCCCTTCCTTCCTGACAAACATGCTCTGCTATGGTTGCTTGTGTCTGGCCATCCAGTGAGGTCTACAGAGTAACAATTTTCCTCACTGTAAAATGTTCCTCATGTCTGAATTCAGTTTTATTATTTCACCTAAATCAGCTATCTTCCCATACAAGATTTCTTCTTCCCATACAAAACTATATATATCAAAGCCCAAGTGGAGATCCTGTATCTGCAGACTATCACATTGGCTTCAATGGCAGAGTCAGTCTTTACAGTCTAAGGAGCCTCATGTATGCATTTGAACCCCCCACACCCACAGCAAATTAATGGTTTGGGTAAATGAGAAGGGATCCAATGCTGCTTCAATGCTTATGCCACTAGCATAAGCAACCTCTAGTGCAATGCCAGCCATACATGTTGGAGCAATGGATTTCCCCAAGAAACAACCCTCCAGCATACACATTATCATTATTCAAGAGGTTAGTACAGAAGCACCAAATCAATCCTGTAAACAGAACAGCACTGCGAATACTGTTCATGGTTTGCAAACCTACATACATTTGCACCCTTATTTTTAAAGGAATTGCTTACATAGACAGGGTGAAGATCAACTCCATACATCTCAAGTGTCTTTGCCACTCCTAGGTAGTTCAATTCTGCCTCAGCTGGAACATGACCCCTGTTTAAAAAGAACAACCACAGACATATCTTTGGTTTTAACAGTGTATTTAAATATGGCTTTAATATTTATATGCAAACCATTTAGTGATTTAATTATATTAAGCAGTATTTGAGTGCACTGGACAGGTTCTACCCAAAGAATGGCAAGAAGGTTATTAGGGTTCAATAGATAATGTAGTGAAATTCACATTGGCCAAATGCCAGGGTTGTTTCTTGCAGCCCTGTCAAGGCCTTATTTATAGCCTTCAGCTGTTAGGAAGTACACCAGAAAAGTGGTTTTCCCCATTATATTTCTTAGATAAGGGCTGCTTTTTCCTCTGAGAACTGAAATTCTTTGTTCTGTTGAAGCAGCTTTGTTCCCCCTCGTCTCTCAGAAAGGCAGGTTAAGCTTGTGGCTGACAGCCTCTGAAGCAGGGAGAAAGAAGTGCCTATAGAAACCCAAGCAGACACCATTTTCCTGTGGTCTCAGCTTGGGTAGGGGAATTAACACAGTAACCACCCAGATAACTTTGGAAGCCCACAGAGCATCTCCTAGCATATTCAAGGAACCAATATGGTTACAGTATGTTATCTTCTGCACAAGTTTCATCCTTAGTTTCCTGAGGTGTCTTGCCTAGACTAGGCCCTTGATCATAAACAAACTAACAAACAAACATTTGGTCTGGGGAGATAGGAATTAATACATTTTATTCATGTGGCTTCCTGACAAAAGTGAAAAATACTAACAAAGCTTTGGTTCAAACGTACCTCCTCAAAAGGAGGTATTAGCCATTAACTAATATGGAGACATTAATTCAATTCCCCCACCATTTTTTCAGGAGAGAAACGGCATAAATAAAGTCTCTCAGCATGTGTGATAGTCCTGGGTCACAATCACAACAGTTGCAGTCCATTGCATCTGTTAACAGCTGACAGTGTTATTTCTGAGGTTCACTTATGGGTTTGTCACAGGTGAGAACTTTGCAGTGAGTTTCCATTGACATTAAGCATTATGCTGTAAAGATGTGTTTTCTCCCTTCGGTTATCATGCTCCAAATATGTTACATTTGTTTAAAGAATGTAAAACAAAAGATTTGTTTGCAAACCTGGCCATATTTAGACCCATTTGCTTTAATGAAATCCAAGCAACAGCCTTGCTAGATTGCAATTCTTGTTTTAAAGAACTATATTATCAGTAAGACAGAGAGTAATGTGCAGGAGGTTTCCTACTTTGTAAGATTTCTAAACTTCACATTAAAAAGCATCAGAAAAGCTATAACCAAGCGTGGAATTTCCCTCCCTAGAAGGATTTGTTGAAAGAAAATCAACCTGTTAGTGACATATGACTGGGGGAAAAAATCAACCTTGAGATCTATGTCAAAAAAGTTTTTCACAATCTTATCTGTGAGCAGTATTGCTCCAATCAAACTCTGAGATTGGTTTGTTTCACTGAGAAATGAATGCAGAGCAAACAGAATCCCAGTCTGCACTGGAAAATTATGACTTTTTTGTTGAGGAAAAAGAAACAACTCTTCCATACATCTTAAGTCAAAGGTAAAGTGTATGTGTGCACACATATAAAACATTGAATCATATGTTTCCTAATGATAATAAATTAATAATGTAGTGTACATATTAAGATTTTTCAAAATCTCAAAATGTTACTGATCTGCAATTGTCTTTATTATCCATTATCATCTATCAGTTTGAACTATGTCCCTTATAGCAAAGATTCAAACTTTTTATTTTCTCTTTTCCTTTTGATTGCTTGTGTCAGAAGTCTTCAATTCTTTCTATGCTTTCTTTTATTAAAAACAAGAAACCTCCTGCACATTACTGCACAACACTGTCATTTTACAAGATATGCATATGCTAAATTGACTATACTCCTTCTCTTTAAATTTTGTTTTTTCTACCTTGCACTCTCAGGGGTAAAAAACAAGTTGCATTAAATACATAATGTTTAGCTGACCCTTACTTCAATTTTTACTTCCAAGTAAGTTTACTTCTGAACTGGGACCAAAAAGCACAGGAAAGTGTAACTCTTGCATTCAACCATTACTTCCCTGTAACTTTCTTTTCCCAATATTTCTCCAGCAATCCATACAGAGGCTAAAAATGGGGAAAACCCACCCGTGCCACCAATCAGGGTGGATTTAATTTAAATAAAATTGATTTAAATCACTAGTATGTAAGAGTAGATGTAAATCAAGGCTTTCTACATAATTTGCACGCATGCCTGCCTCACCCTTAGGTAGAGGAACTTCATTAAAATATTCCCAAACTGGAACTCTTTTAAGGTCTGCTGCCACTATAGGTTTTCTCCTCCAGGGAAAGAATAATATTACAAACCTCAGGCTATACACAAAAAGATCCAAAGACTTGGGGAGTATTCTGCTCAAAAGGGTTCACTGTCATTTTTACTGCTTGGCCCTCTCTCCTCACACTTAGCTTCTTGTATAGATCTATTCCTCTCTCAACAGTCTTCTTCTTTTAATTGAAGTTTCTGAAACACTTTTTAGCTCCCATTTCTGATGGCCAAAGGGGAAGAAATTTAGGGAGGAGAACCTGCTCCACCCATGTACAGTGGTGCTTCTTGATCAGACCCTGCACAGTTACATGACAAGAAAAAAGGAAGACTCGGCTGAACACTATGGGCTGGATTCTAATTAAGTCATGCTTAGAGTAGATCCACTGAAATCAATGGGACTTAAGTCAAGCAAGATCTGGCTTCAAGTATTTCATTACATTTAACTTTTAGACATTTTCCTGCTTTCTGGCTGTTTCATTACACAAAACTTGAGATATTTTCAGATATGCCTTCAAGCCAGACAAATGAAATTAACCTTCCAAGTTAAGCAGGCCATTAAAAATGGCCACTGCAGTTTGCTCTACTCCACAATACCATCACGTACAGTAATTTATGAATACAGTTAGGCTACTTAAAAGTTATTTCCCCATAAAAGTATCTCCAAATAGCATTACTTTTCATCATTATTAAAAATGTGCTGGTATGCATGTTTCGAATATTATACTTCTATCCCACTCTTACATGGACTGCCAGTTATCACATTGAGCAGAGCTACACCCCCTTAGTTTCACTGGGTCCTTGCTACATTTAACACCATTCCAATTCCAGGAGATAATAGTTCCAGAAAGTCACCAGACTTTAAAAATTTAATCCCTCACCTGTTGGGAAAGGATAAAGGAATACAAATTATTCTGTCAGAATAAAGTTGCTTGTTATCCTATAAAATAATGGCATCCATACTTGCAGGAGAGGACACTGTTATACAATACAGTACACATTTTACAAGCTGAGTATTTTTTCAGCAGTCTAACACAAACCTTTGCATACTGTCATACTCTTTCTCTCCACATGCTTTCCTTTTTGTTCCATTCTTACATATGGATAAATTTTTTAAATGTGTCTTGCCAACTCTCATATTCTGTCCATCAGGTTTTTTCCTGCTTAAGAGTAAATTCCCCAATCTTTTACAACTTCTACATATATTGGCACTTAGTCCTGCAATCATCTTATCAAGGAGGCTTATCTCTCTACTCACTTGGCTCCACTATCCTTAATCACCTCATTTCTCAAATATGTTTTTTCTTCTCTTACCTTTTTGATTAAGACATGCAAGGTTCTGCCAGACAACTATGGTGATTGATGAGCTGATTAATCTAATAAATTATGAGCACTGCCAGAGTTTTTAAACAGCATAGTTTTATTGCTAGAACTTCATCCAGTCTTATTGATGATGGTTGTTATGTTTATGTGTTTATAGAAATTTATGATTACCCCATCTTTTTCTATGTTTATACATATCACAGTGCCGCTGCTAGTTTGAAGCTAAAGATTCAACAAATATACTGTTATGTTGTAATGTAAGGGGACATAAAGTCACAGTCTGAAACACGAGTTACAATGATCTCTGCTTCCAGAGGAAAAATAGATCCCATTTTTAAATCTGTAAGCAGATTTAAAATAGAAATTAGTCCTCCTACTCACATAGGATCTGTTCCTTCAATGCCCTTTTCATTGCACAATTTCCCATGCAATATCAATTGATTAAAACATTCTTACATCAAAGTTTTGTGTATCCGTTCTATAGCATCTTCTAGTTCTTCCTTCTGGTCTGGTACAAAGCGGTATTCTGAAACATAACCTGGGGTGTGCTTGTATGGATCATAGTCTCCAAGTTCAGCTACACAATACATATAGCACACAAAGGGAAAAAAATAATTACACATTTTTTAGTGAGCTTACACAAAACATCTTATTTCCTAGTCTCAGCATTTGAAATCTGTATGACAATGAAAAGCTAGGAAGAAAGGGGAAGACTTACAGAGCTGAGAGCGGCCATAAGTACTACAGATCATTAGTATGAGTGTCAGGAAGACCTACAAATGACACACCACTGATCTAAAGTGGGTCATGCCAGGGGCACCAGATTTTCCTCATTTATTTTTGAAGAAAAATTTGTGAAGAAAATAAGGAGAATGAGCAAAAGAGAAAAGGGGTGAGAAGAAGAGAAAAAAGAAAGATAACCATATATAGCAAAAAATTAAACTTGGTCCCATCTTGGTCAGTATTCACTAAAAAGTAGATGGAACTCCTCTCATAATCCGTCACAATACACCTAAAAATAAACAAACCACAAATAGAAGGCTGTGATCTGTTTAGCTTTTCCCACTTGAAAAAGAAACACAATCAGTTTTGGTTCTCCTGGAATCCTGCTTCAGTGTTACACTTGCACTGGGCTTGTCCTATGGCCCTTATGGCACTTTAAACTAACTGATGTATTGAGGTGAAAGCTTTTGTGGACTAGAACCCACTTTAATCTGAAAAAGAAGACATGGTGGGTATCTGATAAAATGTATTCTACTCCACAAAAGTATGCGCCCCAACATATCTTTCAACGCACTCTGTGTGTTCTGCAACAAACATGAACATTCCTTTGGAATTTGTCATAAAGTAGAACCAATTCATAATCCATGGCATTCAATTCACTCCAGTCCAGTTTTCAAATGTCATAAAACCTTTGCTATAAACAAAAGACATAGTATTAGAAAGAAAAATACAGCATCAATTAACCTGAGGCACGTACCCTGCACTGCATAAGCTCCCAGCTGTGCAGCAATGTTGACAGGACAAGGCAAGCGTCCTTGCAAGACATCCTGCTTCACTTGTAAGAAAAACTGATACCTAAGGCAAAGGCAAAGGCAAAAAATATAACTATAGAAAGGTAAATATCCTCACATGCTAATACCTCACTATTAGGGTTGTATTTAAAAGAAACATTGTTAGATTCGCTTGGAAGGGGGTGCACAGCTCACATTAAAAATTGGTAGTCACATTTTGTTTAGTACAAGTGTGAAGATCTTTCCTGCTCAAATACACTTTAAAAGAAAAATTGTCACTTTATTTGTTCAGCATATAAGCTGTGGCAATATATATGCAATATATATGAATGCAATATATATTAAATAATAGGCTTTAACTGGGTTGGATGCAAGATCATCATTCCACCAGTAGGGTGGATACAACTGGTGGAATGTGGGAGGGTTGAGGGATAGAAAAGAAGACAGGGAAATCCCGTTCCACCAGCGGTATCAAGTTAAGGGTGTAATGACAATCTTGGATTCAACCCACTGCTATAAATTTATGACAGATTTTAAAAAATGGAAGTTGGCACTAAAGCCAATAGCCTTAGGATACATCTAGTGACTTGAACAAATTTGATTCCAAATTAACTAACATACTCGTAACTCTTCTGAAAGAAACTTGGGAATTGTGGTTTAATGAGGATTAGGAGTCATAGAATCATAGTAGAGTTGGAAAGAGCCAGAGGGCCATTCCAACTTCCTGCTCAATTCAGGACTCCAAGTTAAACCATCCCTCTGATGGCTGTTCACTTGCATCCTGAATTCTTCCAGGGTGGGAGAGCCCACAACATCCCGAGGTAGCTGGTTCCATTAATGTACTGCTCTAACCGTCAGGAAGTTCTGATCTTCAACTGGAACCTGGCTACCTCTAACTTAAGCCTATTATTTCATGTCCTGCACTCTGGGATGATCAAGAAGAGATCCTGGTCTTCCTCTTTGGGGCAATCCTTCTCGTACCTGAATAGTGCTACCACACCTCCCCCAGTATTTCTTCTCAGGGCTAAACATGCTGAATTATTTCAGTCCTTCATCACAGGGCACTGGTTTCCAGTCCCTGGATCAACCTTGTTGCCCTCCTTGTTGCCAAACTTTTCCAGTTAGTCTACATCTTTTTTTAAACTGTGGTGCCCAGAACTGGACACAGTACTCCAGATGAAGCCTAACCACTGCTGAGTAAAGGTGAACTAGTACTTCATGGAATCTGGAAGTGATACTTATATTAATGCAGTCTAAAATAGCATTTGCCCCTTTTTGCAGCCACATCACATTGTGGACTCATATTCAACTGGTGATCTTGAACAATTCCAAGATCCTTCTCACTTCCAGTATCATTGACCCAAGTAATCCCCATCTTGTAATGATACATTTGGTTTCTTTTTCCTAGGTACAGAACTTTTGTCCCTATTGAATTTCATTCTGTTGCTTTCAGTCCAGTGCTCCAACCTATCAACCAATCAAGTTCATCTTGAATCTTCTTCCTTCCTTCCAGGGTTTTAGCTATTCCACCCTAGTTTTGTGACATCTGCAAATCTGATCATCATTCCCTGCAGTTCCTCATCCAAATCATAATTAAAAATGTTGAAGACCACTGGGCCAGGACTGAACCTTGTTACCTCTCCCCAGTTTGAGAAGGTGTACTTGATCTGGCACTTCCCCTATCCTTCCTTATCTATAAAAGATAATAGACAGTGGCTCTGAGCATTCTTCCACCAGCAGCCGTGGAGATCAACCCAATAAAATGACCATTTCCCTATGAATCCTGAGCTGCCATCCTGCTGCTTCAACTTGTACTTCTTCATGAGGAAGGTCATAGATCTTTCTTTTGGGAGAAGATGGAGCCAAAAAAAGGAACTGAGCTTTACTGCCTTTTCTTTGTCATCTGTTATTATTTTGCCATCCACACTGAGTAGCTGAACCCACATTTCTTTCCACTTTTACTCTGGACATAACTTAAGAGGGCCTTTTGTTGTGCTTAGTATCCCTTCCTAGCCTCAGTTCATTCTTAGATTTAGCCGCTGAAGAACTGAGGCCTTTGAATTGTGGTGCTGGGGAAGACTCCTGTAACTCCCTTGGACTGCAAGGTGATCAAACCAGTCAGTCCTAGAGGAGATCAATCCTGACTGCTCTTTAGAAGGCCAGGTGCTAAAGATGAAACTCAAATACTCTGGCCACCAAATGAGAAGGAAGGAGTCACTGGAGAAGACCCTAATGCTGGGAACAATTGAAAGCAAAAGAAGAAGGGGACGGTAGAGAATAAGGTGGCTAGATGGAGTCGCTGAAGCAGTCAGCGTGAGCTTAGGTGGACTCCGGGGAATGGTGGAGGACAGGAGGGCCTGGAGGATTGTTGTCCATGGGGTCGCGATGGGTCAGACACGACTTCATGACTAACAACAACAAACACCATCCCTGCAATTCCATATTACCTACCTGTACTCTTCCTTTGTGGCCTGACCTTCCTTCTGCTTCCTATACATGTCTTCTTTTGTTTTCAGATCACCTCTAAGCTGCTTTTTGAAACCACATGAACTTCTTCTAACTTTTTTTCTTCTTGGAATTGTTTGAAATTGTGCCTTTAGAATGTCCATTTTAAAAAATTTTCCACCCATCTTGGACACCTTTTCTCATTAGAGCTACTACTCATCAATGGGGATTGCTTATCATTGTTCTGAATTTATTAAAATTGGCATTCCTAAAATACAGATACATGTTTGGCTACATTAGGCTTTTGCTTCCTTTGAAATCAAGAATTTAAGTATGGCATGGTTACTTTCCCCCAGAGTTCCCGTTAGCTGCCACTTTGTCCACTAGGTCTTCCCTGCTGGCTAGTATCAAGTCAAGCATAGACATTCCTTCCTCTACTTTCTGTTGAAGAAAGTTATCAGTAATACATGTTAGGAATTTCCTGGAGGGCCCACGTTTGGCAGAATTTGTCTCTCAACAGATACCAGGAAATTGAAGTCCCCCGTAATGACAACCTCTTGCCTTCTTGAAACACTGGCAATTTGCTTTTCAAAAATTTCATCCTCATTTTCTCTTTGACTGGGTGGTTGGTAATAGATTCCAGCCACTACTCTTGAAGGGGTTACTAAGATCATCTGCCTGTATTTCTGTGCAGAGATATGTATCTTTAACATTTAATGCAACATTACCTCTCTTTCTATTTCTTTTGTTCTTCTTGAACAGGTTATATATCCTTCAATTATGGAATTCCTATCATGGAAGTCATCCCACCAAGTTTCAGTTATACCTATCAGGTCATATTCACCCTCCTGTATTAAGGTTCAAGTCCATGCTGTTTGTTTCCCATACTTCAGGCATTAGTATTTAGACATCAAAGACTAGGTGCTTTATACTCTAGCTTTCTTCCTACACTTTTTTGGAAGAATATTATTGGGCACTGTTAGAACTGCTCTCTCTGTTGTGGTGCATAAGTCTATGTTTGTTGTTATGCCAAGTGTACTTCTCCCTCCCCTTTAGGATTCAATTTAAAGCTCTCCTGATAAACCTCTTCATTCTGTGGCCAAACACATTCTTTCCAGTCCTCGTAAGGTGCAACCATCCCTGCCCATGGTCCCAGAATCCAAATCTCTGATGTAAGCACCCCAATATGTCAACATTTGAAGAATGTTTAGTTTCTTTTCTGAAAATCCACTTTTCTTTGAAGAATGTATGCACCTCCACTCCAGCACATCCAAGAATTTTGTTAAAAAAATCAACTAAGTCAAAGCTGCTGGTGAGCTAATCTACTCCATTTCACTCTTCTGTGGAACAGGAAATAAGAGCTTTTCCCCATATAATGAGGCTCTCCCCTCCTCTGTTACACCTGATAGAACAGGGCTAATACAATATAGCAAGAAGAGAAAAAACACTCACTATGCTAAAGAAATGAACATCTTTATACAAAACTCAGCAGTGTGTACATAGCTTTCTTCTGCTTCCACAATTCTCTGGATTGAGGCTGATAAGGCTGTAAGCCTGCAGATAAACAACAGTGCCTAGTACAGAAATAACTATAGTAGTACATGCTGTTATATAAAATTCTGCATAACAGTATATGTCTACTATGTCTACTGTCTACCGTCTACTATGCAAACTAGATTTGCTGGATAAGGTGGAAGGTTGCAAACTGAACAGGTCCACTTAAAATGCAGCTTAATCAGCATCTGAACACAATTCTTTATAAAATTGAAGTAACTGATTAAATTCATTACCAAAAACAGCACGGGGTATTTATCTTGACTAGGGTATACTGGGAGTTATAGGCTCTTTTTATGTTGAAACGTCCATAGGTTTGCAACATATGCTGAATTTACCTTCACTCCATGTGCATTAAATGAGATTAACCAACAATTTAAAAGATGATTTTGTAACAAGAAAAACAAGTCTCCTTTTCTCTCTTTTAAAAATGAGCAAATCCTCTACAAACTTAGTAACTGCTTTAAAAGTGCCTGCTCAGACTTATTCTGATTGTTCAAATGTTATTAGTATCATACCTGGTGATTTCTTCCTTTAGTCTGCATGGATCTTCTGCATAGAATTTAACACCAAAGTAAAGTGTATATGGCGGACCAGCTATTAAACATAAGAAAGCTAATTAATTTCTGAAGCACACATTCAAGTCACTGCAATCTTGAACACATCTTGGAACTAAATTCCATTACTTTGAGAAGAGCTTCCTGAATAAAGTCTACATTTGACTGTAACCTTTGTTATACAACAGCTTCCTTCCCATTTTTCCTAGCAAGCAATTCAAAAAGCATTAGCCCTGAAGTCTCCCAACAATCACAGAATTTTAAAGTAGCAACCACTACTTACTCATAAAAATCTGAGCATCTTCCATGAAGAATTGATAGGACAGCAATACTCAGTGCAGACTGGTTTGCTCAGGGCCACAAGTCACCAGCTACTTACTGCTCATACACAAACCCCACAAAATGCTATTGGAATTGCACAGAAGCAGCACTTATCCAATTGTATCTAATGTCCATACTGGAGAAAGATATTTAGGTGCGACTATGTTATTAATTTATAGAGATTAATTCATTTTTAATGTACTGTTGTGTTAGAATTTAGTCTACAAAGGTATAGCTAGATGTGCATCTTGTTTAATGTTTGACTTGTAAAGGCCGTAAGTTTTGCTTGCAGGAAAAAAATTGTGTCCACTGCATAAGTTCAACAGATAAATCGTCAAAGCTGTAATATTATCCATACTAACATGGAAATAAATCCCGATAAGTATATATAATTCAGCCCCGTGGAATAAGCATGCATATGATTGTGTTGCACATCTTGTTAAATATCCAAGTTTGGTGTTATTGCAAAACAAAGGAATTGCCACAGTGTTCAGTACAGCCCTGTACTGTACATATACAGAGCAAGTTCACAAGAGGGGAATTGCTACTAAATAACCGTGATTTACCACACTGTATGGCCAGGATACATGTTCTTCCCCTGATCTGGCCTATTGAGGGTTGCTATGTGACATCCCAACCTAAACACTGTATGTTAATCATCTGTTAAACACCCCACAGTTAACCTACAATTAAAAGCTAGATTAACGGATTTTGTTTCTCCCACGATTAACCTAGAACCTTTGGGTACAGATAGGAAATGGCAATCTCCATGGGGAGGGGGTGGAGATATTCCAAAAAATTATGTGAAATGTGTCCAAGTGTATACCATGGCAAACCTTGAGTTAAAGAATCCACAACTTCCTACCATTCCATAAAACAGCCCCATAGGCTAATGAACACAAACTTAACTCAGACAAGATCTAGGTTAGCTCACCCTATTTTAGACAAGACTATACTTGCCTTGAAAATCTGGTCAACAACTCAGAAATGCTCCTGAACTTAGATTTATTCTTGGATGGTAATTAGTAGCAGGAAGGGAGTTTGCCAGTGTTCTACAGTTTGTTAGATTACTCCAACCATCTAAGAGTATATAGACCTAACTTTAGAAAAGAATTCAGGCACTTCAGCCAGTAGAAAATGCACTGGTTAAAATTTTGGAGCAACCTGGAGGAAAACAACCAACTCTTTGGCCATGGGCAGTATAGAGATGATGATGATGATGATGATGATGATGATGATGATGATGATGATGATATCATCACCTCACCGGCTTCCAAACCATTTCTGGGCTCCATTCAAAGAACTACCTTTAAATGACTGAACGGTTAGTAATTCAAACCTGGAAGCAATCCTTATGAGCCTGCCTCTGTTCAATTACACCATATTTTAAAGCTGTACACTCATTTGTACACATACACACATTATATAAAAGAATTTAATTTAGAGTCTATCTTGGAATCTGGTTCATATCATCCTCTTCTATGTCACAAGGATATTATGAGGATAAAATGGTGAGAGAAGAGCCATATACACTGTCGAGCTTCTTGGAAGAAAGGTAAAGCCCTTGCCAGATGTCAACAAATGTAGTTGAAACCTTTTCAAACAAGCAAATATGGTCATGATTCTGATGCTTTGTTTAGGAGGCAGTATGAGCATAGTTAAAAGGAAAAAGGTATGGCTTCTATCTTGTGTTCTCTCAGTTAAACCCTATCCATACCTTACTACATCCATGCCAGGGAGAAACACACATCAGCATCAGCAGGCTCATTCCTGCGCTGCTGGATGCTGGAGACAGCTACAAATGAGGATTGGTCCTTTTCATTCCCAGGCTCCCCTTTGTTGCTAATATTATCAAAACAATACCTTTGCTCTGAGGATCCCCTCTAATTTGGCACATGTGTTTGGGAAAATGCTGCGACATTTTCAAAGTTCCCCATTTTATCCTGAGGTGGCCATATGTCAGCAGTAGCCAAACTGGTTCCCACCAGCCCCAGCCAGCTAGGTCAGTGGTCAAGAATCACAAGCAATAAACTAATGTAGTCCAAAATGTGCACTGGGTTACCTACTCCTCCCATATGTGAAGACAGACCATCCCAATATTTATGTTTGCCTAGTGCCTCTCCATCACACTTCTTTCCCTGCTGCGCTCTCCCTAGCCCTCATGTGATGTTCTTTTTATCAGACTGTCCTGTAATCTGTGCTTGCCACAATTCCAAAGCAACTCACCAGGATTCTAAATGCTTTTTAAAAGATGAATTTAAATTCTCAAATCCAATGCAATCCCAGTTTATATAACATTACTGTCATGTTAGAAATCTGAAAAGTTCTAGTACTCTGAGGAACATTTTGAACAGAGAAATATACAGCAGGCTGGAAAGAGGAGAAACGTAAGTTTTAACACTCAAATCAGTGTGTGCAATTGAAAGATTGCTATATACAGCAATATTGATTGATCTCAAGGGACTTGGAGATTTGGCAGTTAGAACTGTTGCCACACACAAGGCTATTCACTCTACAGATGGATAGTTTTCTATGTCTCCCCATTATTACCAAAGTTTATGAGAAAGAAATTGCATACATACTGTTTATGAGTTCCTTATGTTCCGTAAGGGTCTTTGCTGGATCCAGCCAGTACTGTGAAAATAGCCATAAAAGCATTAAAATATGCTTATGTTGATATAAACAAGGGAATTTAAAGAGTCAAGAAATCATTTGATCCTAGAAGGGATAACAGAAGCTGCAACCTCTCAGAAGATTATGATGATCTTGTTGTGTACCTTCATCAAGCCCTGTAGACACAGACCATACACAAAGTGTTTCTCTTAAACCATCCTTTTCCTATCTAGTGCCCTCTAGCTGTGAAGGAATAAATCTTCCATAATTTGCAGCCAACATGGCAATTGGCCATATTGGAAGCTGTAGCCCTGTACAACTGCAAGGCACTAAGGTTCAGGGAGGTTCTTAAACACTCAAATCCTTCCAGTTTGGGATGATATTGCTTTTACATCTACATATCACCTATACATGTTGTTTTATATTTCAATGCTAGCATCTGTTATTTTAATTATTAACTTTCCTGAGAATCCTTCAGGGTTAAAGGATTGTATATTTGTGGGGTGTATATTTCTTTTAAAATGAACAAACAAAATTTTAAAAATACTCTGACAGCAATAAATGTATATTTAATATTAACTATAGTGGATGTCACAACACCAAAAGTACTACTGTACTGAAAATTACATTTTTCAAAAGATTGTGAATTAAATAATATTCTGGTAATGTTAGTTACATTATCATACATTATGCTAATCTTAATACATTATCCAGTATTTATTGATTTTTTTACTGTATCAATCCACAGAAGATAAACTGAGGCCACAGAAGTGATGGGGGAGTGAACTGAATTGTTAAATCGATGCTGAAGACTCTGCATGCATAATTTTTGCAATGGACTTCATCCAGGTTTTGAAGAGACTATAAAATATGAATTTGGTAGCAGTTTTACAGTACCTTCCTAAGGAAATATGTGTCTTTGTGAATCAACAATTACACTGCTCCGCATAAAGTGAAATCTCTGTTAATGTTTATTCCTCTCCAAAACATACCAAGAATGCGAACTTTGACCAGTTCCAAGCTCTGCTCCACAAAATGCAAAAAGTCAGAGGATTCATCCCTCTGAGGACATACTGAGGTAAACATTAGATGTGCCTCAAATATCCATTATTTTCTTCCTTCCAGAGCAAAATCAGTATATTCAAGAGGTCTGAACAAGCATCAGATTTACAAATAGTTTTCACACATTCAAAAGGTTTAAAAAAAGTTCAGTTCATTTCCATTCTTCAAAAATGGCTTAAGTACAATAGCTTAGTCTTGTTTTTAAAGGGAAGCAATGAGCAAAAGTCAAAGTATGCACTTATGAATGGGGAAGAGACACAAAAGACTACTCTCATCCTGTCTCCTAGATAATACAAAAGCATAAAGAAAATGTATTCTAGCAGTACACGACAGCTGCTGTCTTTTAAAAGAGAGGAAGTTAAAACTCTAAACTAGCATTACAGCTACTTTTACTTATCATCCCTTCTGTATCTTTTTGTTTGTATAAAAGCCAAAAGCATCTTTATATACTTCTGAGTGACTATCCTGATTATCAATGATAACAAAGAAGCAATCTTACTGCTTATTTTTAAATAAAGCTGTGACATCTCATGTTAAATCTTTAATTAAATGAACATGACACTGTTTACAAATTTACAGAACACTAGGAAATACCAAATCATGTGTCCTTCTTTAGTGTAAACTAAGCAAAGAGAATAAAAAAGAGAGATGATCTTCAGGCAGAGTGTGTTTGAAACAAATTTTGGATAGTCTGTTCAAGTGCCTTACAAAAATAAGCATTAAGATACTAGTTGCAAGATATTGTTTAAGTGTATACGGGTAAGAAATTTGTGGGAACTTTCTCCAGCAGGAAGATGCAACAAACTAGACAGGGCAGTCCTACCACATGTTCCAATATGGACATGTAGCCTTCCCGAGCCACAGTCTATCCTTACAGATGCTTAGGAAGAATTGTCACTTCTTCCTGTCATGCACCAGTTTCCCACACCTGAAAAAAACTGCTTAAAATTCTGTCTCTACAGGTATCTCTTCAGTTTGGAAAGCTCAATCACCACACCAGAGGCCCAGATTGCATGACAGCAGACCCATCAAACCAAAGTCTGTCCCAAAAGGGTAGATCCAATTTAAACATGTCTGAAGAATGAGAGTGTTGAAACTCTTTAGCATCGGATTTTCTGCACAACTGTACAGCAGACTGGTTTTTAAAAACGAGTGACAGTACTTTACACTAGTTATGAATCGCTCTCTTTCTCTCTCTGTCTCGTCTCTCTCTCTCTCCTCTCCAGTCCCCCCAAGTTTCAATTTAACTTGTACATGCACAATAGTGCCAACCCTAGCACCACTACTGGGTGTCTGTACACATTTTAATAGTTCTTGCACAAGACCTTCTGCGGATGACCTACTAAAATGGATAAAAGCCACATATCAGCTAACTCCTTAATGCATCCTTCCCCAACTCAGGGACATCCAGGTTTTTTGGATTGTAACTCACATCAGCCCCAGTCAGGATGGCCAGCACTCAGGGATGATGGGAGTTGGGCTTGAAGGGAGAAGGCAGCCTTACCAGGGATTCTGTGGTTGCTCTGTCTTTCTGGTGGCCCACTAAATTTAAAAACTTGCCTGCTTTACAGGAAAGGCACTCAAAAGGCAATGTCTACTTGCAGCTCATTCATAACAAATATCTTTATATAGACAAATATATTTTAGTTATTTAATATAGAATTAGTTAATAAAATATTTATTTTACTATTTTTATTTAAAACATTTTACCCCATTTATACCCATTACAGGTCTCAAGATGGCTCACAAAATAACAACAGCACATTAAAATAGCATATACAGAGATAAAATTGCAATATAAAAAGCCCATCAACCCTTAAAATACTGGAAAAATAAAAAAGTTTTGGCCTGGAGCTGAAAAGAATAAAGCACTGGCATCCAGTACATCTCTAGGAGGAGCAGATTCCAGAGCTGAAGCACTAGCATACAAAAGGCCCTTCTCTGGGTAGCCACTCTACTAGCCTCCCTCAAGGAGGGCTCCCGAAGAAGAACCTCAGTAGAAGATCTTAAAGTTTGGGCAGGTGTATATGGAAGGAGATGCTCCTTCAAAATTACCAGGCTCTAAATCATTTAGGGCTTTATATGGCAAAGTTAACCCATTAAATTGGGCCTGGCCTTCAACTGGTAACCAATGCAGGTGATATAGAACTGACGTTGTATTATTGCATCTGCCAGTCCTAGTGAGAAATCTTACAGCTCTGTTCTATACCAACTGAAGTATCTAGACCATCTTCAAGGTAGTCCCACACAGAAGGTGCTGCAATAGTCAAATCAAGAGGTTACCAGAGTGCGGGTTACTGTTACTACACTCTGCTTATCCAGGTAAGGATGTAGCTGATGTATCATCCAAAGCTGATGGAAAGTGCTCTTTCCTCACCTGGAATTCCAGGGACAACTCTGGATCAAGGAGCACTGCCAAATTGTGTACCCTGTCCCTTACAGGGAATAGAACTCCATCCAGAACAGGGCGAATATAACTTGCCGGGACAGCCCAAATGCCCACCAACAGAACCTCCATCTTATCTGAATTAAGTCTCAATTTATTGGCCAGCTGATGGCCTTATCCAGACCATCACACCATCCAGACGATTCAGAACTGTCACTGCCTCACTTGGATTGCTTAAAAAAAAGAGGTCAAGCTGGGTGTCATCAGGTGAAATCAGCTGACCAAAGTAGGAGCAGAACCACCGCTAAGCAGTGCCTGCAACCCCCAACTTGGCCAGCCTATCCAGAAAGATCCATGATCAATGGTATTAAAAACCACTGAGAGGTCCAAAATAACCAATAGGGACATACTCCCACTGTCGTCAGGTCATCCCACAGGGCAACCAAGGCAGTTTCAGATATACATATAGAGTTATACAGTACATATAGAGAAATTACATTAAAAACATGACAGAACCCAGTGAATCTCTGCTTCATTACTTAAATGATGATTTAAATATCCTTGCTCTAGTAGAGAACTGCTACCTCATCATGCTGCTCAAACTATTAAAGATCTCTGTTTACCCAATAAGGGGACACTCAGACCTTAGACTGAAACTTGCAAAGTCTGTAGGTTTCCATTTTAGTTATAGGTAGTGTGATCTCAGCTAGTTTTTCACCTTCAGCTCTAGATTAGTGGAGTTGAAGGCACATGTGCAAATACACAATATCCATTCAACAAAACTTACTACCCCTCCACTGGCCTTCCCTACGATACTTACCAGTATTACAGCAGGGAAAATTAGCTAATTAGGGCCGTATGACTAGAGACTGGGTTATTCAAAAATGACAAGATGACTAAACTGCTTCAAAATAAAAATGTATAAATAAATACATACATATCCTAGCAGCTGTACACTTACATTTAAAAATCATGTGCTTTGACATTTGCTTTTTTATTTTAAGCTTTTACCCGTTATATCATAATCATGCAGGCAAATTAGACTCATTTCTAATCCCCAAAAGGTCCACTCTTCTGAACAAAAAACACCATTTCTACAAAACTCATCATGAGACATCATATGAAGAATTTCCAACAAAAACATTGATTTGCATACAGTACTACAGGTTGATTTAAGCTGGAATACTGACTGATTTGCTGACAAAATAAAGGACAATCTAAAATATGACTGGAAAAGGGTCACCAACAGGGTAACAGTTTACCACTGGAAAATCTAATCTGTTGTGCTTTTACTCACCGTCTGGTGACTTCTGTCACAGTAACGCAGTCCAAAGTAATCTATCTCCACAAGGTTTAAATGCCGGAATACGTAGCCTAGGACAACCGACCCTTTGGTGGACTTCTGTGAGAAAGAATGCACAGAGCCTATTCATACAAGTGTTCATTCTTTTGTTAGCTGCACAGTGGCATTCATGCATTCAGCTAGCTTTGTCTACCAAAGGAGATTGTTTTATTAAAAATAGACTTACTGGTCTTAAACTAAAATCTCAATGACAAGGGAGGGAAAATCTCACATGCTATCTTTAGTCAATTTGTAGGATATGCTTCTATGTTAGTAATCTTGAGCTTTACATATTTATGCATCAAAATACCCTACTGTGATCTGTAGTAGTTCTACACTGTCCACTCTAATATCATGCTCTTATTTGCATAAACCTCTTTAAAGCTTTGTCATTTCAACTCCAGAAAACAGGTAGGGTGAGAAATGGACAGTGCCCCAATGCCAAGTTTTGCTCTTGTATAAAAGAAAAGCTTCAGAACAGTCACAGATCCACCACTTTGCCAGTATAAAGCCATATACAACAACTGTATGAAAAACTGCTTTCATATTACACACGTGCTGATACTGCTGAGGCTAACGTTTATTAGGTGGTTGACAGTATGTCAATGGTTAACTGGAGCATTTTCCTTTACCTTTCCTTGGATAGGTAAGCTGCTTTGCGTTTGCCTTTTCAGGATAATAAACAACTTAAATCACCATACAGAGGCAAATAAAAATAATAAAACTATGAACTATGCAGCATAAAATAAACCTATGAACTAAGCCTTTGGCTACTCTTTATTGCTCACGAGGAGTCCCAACTCAATTGCTACAAATCCTTCCCAATCAGTCTCTGTATTACATACTCTGACTGTCTCCCCATACCAATAAGGCACTTCTTCCAGATTTCAAGCACATCTCCCATCCATTCTTCAGCCAGCCCACTACTTTCTCTAACCTAGGTAATCATCACTAGGAATGAAATTCCTTCAGACAACACCTGATGCAGCTGTATGTTCACCTCCCTTTCTCATTTACCACAGTACTGGATGCAAAGAAATGGGGGGGGGGGATGAAATCTTGACAGGGAGGTGAGCAACATGATCAAGAACTCCAGTCCATAGGTTTTGATGGGGAACACAGGTAGCATCAATGAGCATCTCTATTAATACTATGCATGTTAGACAGAAAAATGCCTACAACTCCCAGAATTCCTCAGCCAACCATGTTCAGATTTGAAAAAGCTTTTTTAAATTATTTCTGAACATGCGTAAGATGCGTCTTTAATTACTTTACTCTGACAGTAATCGACTGTTATTAAGATACTTATGTTAGCTAATGTCCTTGATCAATGAAAAAAATGACTCCAATTTAAACATAATGTCCACGCTGTGATTTTGAAGAACAAGCTTTTTAAAATCCAGAACGAAGAAACAAATATGAGGAAAGGGGACCTCCTGTAGTCAGTGTGCCAGAAACACAAAGGGAAAAGAGACAAGTCTAGAACAAATATATATTGCACGGTCTGGTTTTAGAAGAAGCCATACAACATTTTAAACTAACCTCTCTCAAGGCACAAAGAACTTTCCACCAAGGAATCTTAACAGCAGTTTTCAAAAATCTCAAGGCTAGCAACCAACATCTAATAAATCTTAATAACTGTTCTTTAATTACTTTCAATAGTCACCTGGGCCAAATTAAAATATGTAGGGAAATAGCTTTAGAAACAAATCTAACTTTATAAATAAAATGTTTATCATTTTCAGCTCCAATCTAAAATTTACACAAACATTTTGGGAGAAGAAAATATTTGAATGCTGACTGACTGGACTCACCACCTGCTATTGCTCCTCATCCTCCTTCTCATCACTGCTATTGCTTGCTTGACAGGTAGAGAACCAGTAAAGAAAGAAACAGTGGCATCTACTGTTCCTCCTTCCATCACCACTGACTGGGCCAAGCAAAATGCAGGTGAAGAAGCAGGTTTCCAGGGCAAAAAAGGAGAAGTAAATCCACTGGCATCTTGCCAGAAGACCTTTGCTGGTGTGTCAGACCCTGGTTACATAGATGCTGTGCATACACTAGCACCATATACTTAAAACTGCTGCAGCGATGCTCAAGAACCTGCATTTCATTTGCCACGATACAGTGAAATTCATGCAATATTGACATGTTATTAGGTCTTATATATTTAAGCCAATATAGAAGCTAGTCAGGCAGTCCACAGAATCATGCAGTTGACATGGTATGCACTTACCTTAAAAATAAAGGCATAACAAGCCAGTGACACTTTCTGCCTTGTGATAAACTGTTGCACTTTACATTATTAATCATTGAGAAGGGCACATAACCCAATGAGGTAAAAGCAATTCAGCTCTGATAGTTACAGTGCACTTCACCATGCATAATACATAACTGTAAGCACACCTATTTTTACTAAACAAACTACCAGTGTCGGAAAATTACTTTCTCTGAGCAAAATATAAAAAAAAATCAGTATAGCACATTAAGCACAAAGCTCCATCAGAGGGAGCCAGAGAGAGAGAGAGAGACTGAGACAGAGGATATGGAGCGAGCGAGCAAGCAAGCAAAGTGGGCATATTTCTAAAGTTACACAGTCTACTTCATTCTAAAATGAAACTTGCTAGAGGCTTTCATTCTTAGAGGGACAAGTTTATTGAAATACCATCAGTAATGCTTTCAAGAGTGAACAAAGAATTGTTCAAAATGAGTCATAAGGCCCGCAATAGCACTATAAACCAGAAAGGCAGGTTTCTTCCAGCTTCATAAAATGACAGCTAAAACTTTTGGAGACGACTTAGTTTTCTTTTGACAGAAATGAAATTGAAATTAAAATATTATAACATATTTCTTTAAAATGTAACAGTTCAACTGTTAAGCCTGTTTTTAAGGCTTAGCAGTTGGACTGACAATTCAGGGTTCAATGTTTATGTTACTAAAACCATAACTATGACAAACCCTAGAACTTCAGAAGTATTAAATGTGTTTCCGAACAGAAGCTCAATATCTTAAATAGATGCAACATAACCAGAAATTCAACCATTGCAACTTTTTCTGATGTAGACAGGAAAGCTGCAGTTGCCAAATTTCTGGCTGTCAAGTATCTGTGAAACGCAAAGAGCCTTTGTCAGGGAGGAAAATGGATAATGAAAACTCAGTGATTTTCTTCCTTAGTTATTCATCCTCTAAAGTCAGTCATGATGGCAATATTTCTACAAAAGCTTCCTACAGGACTGATAGAACCCTTCCCAGCTTAGACACCAGATCAAAGCCCCCAACACTCTAGCAGCCAGAGACTACACAGCCCACAACTCATGCAACTACTAGCAATAGCTCCTTATTCTCAGTTTAGTGAAGCAGTACAAGCACTAATTGCATGGTAATTGCAATGTTCAGTTTGCAGGCATGCCTGAAGGTTGCCAGGATTCAACTGCCTGTGCTGACGTGTTACAGAAGTGAATGTTTGTGTCTTGCACCTTAAACTTGAAAGCTTAAAGATATGGCTTAACTCCTTAGTCCTCATCCCCCAAGATGAATTGATACATATAACTAACTACCTTTACTCACATTCCTTCCTTGTTACATCTGTTCAGTGACATTTCTTCTCTTTCTGTCTACTCCCCCATTGTCAACACTTAGCCTGACTTCAGCACAGGGATGTCCTGTTTGTTTATGTTTTTCTGTAATGTGCCAGGTAGAGTGATTATTGAATAATGAATTACAATAGTCTTAAACAAAGCTCAATTTTGGCAATCCAGTCCATATCAGAAGTGTGCAGAGCTGCTTTGGTCAGCAATGGGTTTTAATACAACAGCTGTGAGTGTCTGAGTAGGGTATAACGGACTCAAATACTACAGATATGCAGATTACACATAGCTTTGAACTATCCTGGAACTTAATGTACTATATCTTTTGGAATATAAAAGAAGATCTGATAGCTAGACCAGACCACAATTTGCAGAATACCTGTTCAAGCAAAGAGTTTTAATTTCCTAATGGTTGATACTGCAAATATCTACCAAGCTAAAGAACTTAATCAGCTGAAAGCATGTTCAAACAGAATATATAAAACTAATCAACATTAACATGTATACTTGCTAATGAAAAAAGCTACAATGCAAATATAAAATCAGACTAAAATATATGCATGATTGGAATCAGTGACTGTGCTAAGTATATATATTTAAGTCAATTTTATTGAGCTTAATCTGTTATCCATATGGAGCTAAGTCTTGTTTTGCTAGAAGGCTGTTCCATTTTGAACAGGATACCTAGTTGTACTTAGTGTGGGGTAGAGGATGGAAGGAAAAACCTAGCCAGACAAGATAATGTGACATAGATATGCCTCATATTATACTAGTGCTAGCTGCACTGTTAGTCCAAGCATGTCCTGGCTTCTTTGTTGACACTAGACAATAGATGTCACTTAGGACTGGAACGTCTTTGTTCAGAGCTGTGCCCCAAGTACACAGGCAAACAAGGGATGTCCCTCACCTGATTTCAGAACACTTCTGCTCCCATACGTATTCACTGGCCTAGCTCTATGGCTATAGAAATGGATAATTATTGACTGATGTCCAACATAACCACAAATGACTTTTGCTAGCATCTCTCATTGGCTGTATTCACACATAACAACAGGCCGTCGTAGGAAAGGGTTACAATATACCCCCACGAAGTCATGGTTCAGCATTCGCAGCCGCAGTCTTTCGCGGAATTTTTCTCCGAGCGAGTCCAAGCTGATCTCCTTGCGAGTAAGCCACTGCCTCACCATGTGGCAGCTTACTTGCAAGGAGATCGTTTCCTCTGAGTTTGAACTCGCTCGGAGAAAACAATCTCTGTGCACATGCCCCTGCCCCTGCCTTGCCACGCACCTTCCACCCACACCGCCTTGGCAGCCAGTGCCCATCACCGGCACCAAATTCACGGTTTTTCACAATTTGTGGGTGCTTTAGGAACGTAACCCCCACAAGTTTCAGGGGACTACTGTATTGTTATGGGTTAAAGTTCCATACTGGAAGCATGGTGAAATGTGTCATGTTGGATTTCCATGATTCACC